TTTAATTTGATCTATGCCCACGAATATGAAATAGATCTTTACTAGTTTTTCTTGAAATTAAATGCAGTTTTATTCTTCATACATTCATGTTATACTTATAACCGTATAGCTTTGGTGCTGGTGAGATTAACACACTGAAGCAGTGATCGCAAACCAACAACTAATTTTTTATGAAAAACTTGATGACTTCAATATTTCCCGTGTCAACGTCCCTTATTTATGCGGTAATATACATGTACCATTGACGCCTGCATATGGAATTTGTCTCCCAACGAAGTTGATACGCAATAACATATTAAGAAAACTTTCTTAAACATGGAAAGTTGTTGACAAGTAAGTTTATGATACAGGAATATCAGCAATGTCGTTTAAAGTCAACATTTCTCAAACGCTATAGTCAATACAATGACTATGTTAGCAGATACAATCCATAAGTAAGTCGAATGTTGACTGACGTTTTCCACAAAATGTTAGCCATTTATTTTGACACTGAATTGTGTACAGATTTTTCCGTTTATCCGACATGTCATCATGACAAGAAGCATGGCGGGTCTGACCGGTCCACAGGGGATGCTGACAGACGTATAGGGGGTGCTGACCGGTCCACAGGGGATGCTGACCGGTTTACAGGGGATATCTATATCTATCACTCAATTGCACCTGGTTGCATCTCTGATGCTTTAAGATGTCCGTTTATCTGTCCTTATAATTAGAATTGTTTCCGTGCTCTTTTGAGCTTGATTACTGTACGGTATCTTCATATTTCATATAAAATGAGCTCTTATAACACAAGTGTAAGCATGGATCTTATTTCAAGTATGGTTTCTATATTAACAATACCTGTACTTGTAGCCTTTTGAATGGAAAATAGACATCAATGTAATAGAAATCTGCATTGTGTGCACCTGTGTACATGTCTAGCTTTTCTCGCATATCCTTAGTGTTGCTTGGTGTGTCATTTTCTATCTCATTTCCTTCTTTATCCAAGATACGGTACATTAAATTTTCTGAATTCCTTATCCGAACAATCCTGGAGGTTGCAGCCAAATTTTGTGGAGTGACTAACCTCTCTCCGACAAGTTTATTCATCAGACTGGTCTTCCCACTGCTTGTTTCTCCTAAAGCATAGAAAAATAAAAACTTGTCATGTGTCTTTTGATGCACCGAGCTCCAGATTTAGACAGAAAACAAATCATTCCAGGATTTTTCAAGATGATGTCTAATTACAAACCATATTAGTTGCTACAAATAATGTTTCAACCGCTTATCCAAAAATAAAAGTATGAAAGAATAGAAAACGAAGGGATTAAAAATCAGAAGAAATAGATTACAAGAGAGAAAGTAAGTTTTTTACTGAAGAATTTTCGCAGGCTTGTAGAGTGAACAATGCAAGAGCTAATATCAACCGATACAATTTAAGAAACATCTTTTGTAGATATCGATTATCATGCCAGTAATTTAAGTTTCAAGATTTTTTTTTTTTTAATTCTGATTAGCATTATGCCATTTTGCAAAAGCTGACACGATACCTGCAATGGTTATTCCACATTCCATCCTTCGTAAATCTTTCATTCTTGTTTTAAACTCCTCAATATATTCTGCCTGGTAAATGTCATCAGAGTTTTGCTCATTGCATGGTTCCTGTCCGCATACACTTTTTTGACTTCTGACGACATTATTAAGTTCTTCCTTAAAATCAGCATCAAAATCGTCTCGCTGAACAAATTGTATTAGGTCTTCATAAGTACATAACAAGTTCAAAACTGTTGCTGTATGTATCTCAGATTTCGTTCTTCCAAGCCTGTTATACAATTCATATTCTGGACAGCTGGAAATAGATCGAAATTGAATCGTTAATAAAACGGATTTTCATCAGGTTTAATTTATTGAATTACATATTATTATTATTAAAACAATATCCAACGCAAAGAAAAAAGCCTACGACATTTGCTTTGTCAATATAGAACGGTAGATTGAACATGAGCGCGTATTCAAGCTATGTCCAATGATTTGTGCATTTATTGTAGGGACGCTTCGTCCTTTAATTCGCTTCCCGGAATATGGGAATAATTTGGCATGACCAGTTCTTTGGAAAAAAAATACCACAAATACATGTATATAAAGTTTCATCAAAGGCATTTTCTTTTCATATCTAGTAGACGAACAAATATATTGTTTATACAGAAGGTCGATGTTATGCCTTATTTAGCGTGATTCCCAGAGCTAGAGAGGGGGAGGGAGGGAGAGAGAAACATTGCATTTAACCTTACACGAAATTAAAAATACATGTACTGTGTATTACATGAAACAAGAGGCCTGAAGGTTCTAGATTGTTAAAATATTGTTTCTCTCTTTATTCCTTTTGGATTTTCTATCCTACATGTATATTGCTGTCCCAAATTAATCCCAATTCACGGAATCCGGGGATGCTTCCAGATCCAAAGGAACTTTCACACGAAATTGTTGCATAAAAATGTGTTCTATTGTGTCCCTGCTTAAATGAATAAAAAAAATGTTGAGTGTTTTTAGTTTCCTTTATATTCAAAAAATTCTGATCCACTATAGTGACCCCCCCCCCCCCCCAGTGAACCATGATTCGAAAAAAAAAATCTGAGTATGAACTACACGGATTTGCTGATAACATTTATATGTCTGATTATGGTCCAGCTGTTTGAAGAACTCAGTAGGGTGTTTCTCTTGTCACTTTAGCTGTTTATTTATCAGCATTGGAAACATGCAACAACTGAATTATTATGATTAGTTTTAAATTTGACCTTGAATATTGCCAAATTCAAGAACAATTTTGAATCAGACAAATTCAAATATCTTTCAATCTAGTTTGCATGAATTGCATTGTTAGCATGAATTTCAAAGTAATTGAAGAGATTTTTTAAAAACTAACATTTATTTTAAAGTTTTCAATTAAAAAGATATTTCAACCCATTAGGAAACATTTACCTGTTGCTAGTATTTTTTTTCGGACAGGTTTCAATTCGTAACTATGACCTAAAACGTTTTGTTCACTTAGCAAATAGTTTTCGGAAAATCTATCAAGTGAAAATTCATAAAATTCTAACAATCCCAGAGAAACATTTTTTTTTTTTTGTATTTCTGTTCTTTCTTAATTTTACATGGATCGTTGTACACCACTGAATTAAATATTAAAAGTATTAAAAAAAATTGAAATTACCTTGAGTACAAATTATAATCTTCCGTCCTTTTTAAGTCCTTTTCTTCCATCAAACAAGATTCAAGGATCTATATGTTAAAAAAATTCCTTTAAACGTGTATCACTTTTTTTGTCGTTGAACTGAATATTACTTAGCTATGAGTACGTCCTTTCAGAGTTAATCAGATGATATAGGTGCTTTTGTTGAACATTTTCTCTATTTCAGAATCAAAGCGTAGCATATTAACCGATGTCCTGGTAAAGATATGATTTTGTTACATTACCGCATGAATTTTTAACAAGAGGAAAAACACCTTTTCAAGTGAATGACATACGCATTGCTCAAGTATAGTTAGGTATATAGTTAGATAAAATTATTTGCAGTTATAAACTTCCTCATATTTAGTGATAGGTTATCATTTGGATCACATTTCAGACAGCAAGGACGTGAGCATCTTCAGTAAATGCAAATTAAAAATTGTCAATCATGGTCCTTTGGGATAGTTGCGGCAGCAACATTAGATATACATGCATTTTTTTTCAATATTTAGAAAACATTTTCCCAAGAACAGCTGGGTCATTAGTCATATAAATCTGTAAGCATCCCCATGTAGTGAAAATTCAGATTTTTTTTTTTTTTTTTTTTTTTTTTTTTTTTTTTTTTTTTGTTGAAATCATGGACCTCTTTCTTTATAATACAAAATTTATAGTGTAGAGGTTTTATAACATCGCTTATTGCGAGACAAGATCAAATATGCGTAGATACATAGAAACACATTTTTTTAGTTGCTTGTTACTACCAAATAGAACAAATTTTGCATTTGATGTATTCGTTTAAAATTTAAAATGATGTATTCGTTTAAAATGGCGTTTATCCAACTAGTTGTTAATCATTAAAGTTCAAATCCTCAAGCTCGAGGAAATTCTCCGGTATACTTTTGCAATATTACACCCACGGTTTATAACGCTTTTAAACTAAAATCTAATCAAAACAGATTATATTTTATCAAGAACAAACATTTCCAGGGTCTATTTTATGATGCATATCAATATAGAGGAAAACCCTGTTTTTATCTTCAATTTAACTCTGCATTGCTTGATAAATGCATGTGCTTGTTTCATAAATTCACCTATATAATTATATTCTCGATACACACAAATGACTAGATGAATTTACTTCAGCCGTGAATTTAGAATCAGAATATTTTTGCTTTCATTTAGTAAAACTGCATATAAAATGACCTTTCTATGGAAAGCCGTAGGGTACCCCCACATTATTATTATTTTTTCCTATATAATTATACCAAAAATAATTATCTCATCCCAAAATAAAAAATCTTGCTTCTTTTTTTTTTTTTTTTTTTTAACATTATTATTTTCCTACAACAATTATAATCTTGTCCGTCCATGTGTACTCATTATTTTTATTTTGCCCCTACATTATAATAATTATTCTCACTTTACAATTATAATCTTTTCAGTTAGTACGGAGACATTATTTTTATACACCTCCAAATTATAATCTTGTCAGTCGATTCGTACACATAATTTTTATTTTGCACCAAGATTATAATTATTCTTGCCTCAACAATTTATAAGACTTCACCTCCTGTAACAATAATGTACTGACTGAAAATAAATAAAAATGTACACGCTTAAAAATTATAATGTACCAAGTCGACGTTATAATCTTTGCAACAATAATAATGATGTGCGCCCTTGTTCGCAATTATTTTCATTTTTCAACAGGAAAGATAACTTCTTTTCTAGTGACAGGAACGAAAACTCTGTCCTCCTGTTGAAACAATAATTATGTTGAGACGCGATTATAATTGTGACTGCACACATTATTTGAAGCGTGAAGGAAATATTATCTTGAGCGTGGAGAAATATTATTTGAAGCGTGGAGAAATATTATTTGAAGCGTGACGGAAAACAAGCGTCGATGCGAGGGAGATCGTCACGTGAAAAGGCCATGTGCGCTGTTCGATCATGTAAACAAAGTGGAACGAAGACAGAAAGTCCAACGTTAGCTAGGCTATAAGAGGTAAGTAAAGACTAATCATTAATGTACATGTAAATGACTGGCATCATTCAGATAATGTCTCTTGAATCAGCTGTCAGTTTATTGTAATTAAGCTAGAGCTACCGAACAAACAGGTAGTTCGAATTGCCTCAGACAGCTGTCAGAAATAGATCATGTGCATAAATGTGAGATTAAGCACATACTAGTACTTTATTAAAACCACCTGCCTGATTAAGAGCATATAGGGACGATCATTTGATTGGGGGGGGGACTGATAGAGTAAGGAAATAAATATTTTAACCTCTACCCCCACCCCTTTATGAAAAGGTGGTGACCTTAACATGGTGAAAAATGTTTTTCCTAACCAAAATTATTTCTCATCTACCATGTCTACTACTTTGTACATGCCATAATCATACTCGTACATGTACCCGTTGATATTTTTTAGATTTTGCATACAGTTTGTCTTTCTGCCACAGATTCAAAGAGAATTCAGATAGAAAATGGAACTATTGAACAATAAATTCTGCCTGGAAGCAAGAACTGGGGAATACAGTGCAAGGGATACCCGCTGCTCTATTTCAAAAGTTATTGGTAAGGTGATTAAGTCCTTGATAAATATCATTAAAAAATATAGCCTTTGTTAACAATAGACAACTTAAACATTTTCCAAAAAGTATTTCTCTTTGTGGGGAGAATCTGGGTTCAGCTGGAATGAGGGACTGTTCTCCCTTTAAGCCAATTAAAAAATTATAATGTGTTTGTTTTTGGTAACATGCCAAAAATATTAGGGAAGGTAGGTAGGCGATAACTTTTTTTTTTTTACTTTGCTTTTTATTAGCTCACCTGAGCCAAAGGCTGAAGTGAGCTTTTCTAATCACATTTTGTCTAGTGTCCATCTGTCTGTAAACTTTTCACATTTTTTACTTCTTCTCAAGAACCACTTGACCTACATGTATTTCAACCAAACTTAACAACAAAGTATCCATGGGTAAAGGGGGTTCAAGTTTGTTCAAATAAAAGCCACACTTCCTTCCAACTGGAGATAATTACAAATTAATTTAGTGAAAAATTAATATCATCTTTTAAAAATCTTCTTCTCAAAAATCTGTGGGCCAGGAAAGATGAAACTTTTGTGGAAAAATCCTCAGGTAGTGTAGATTCAAGTTTATTTAAATCAGGGGTAGGGTGGGGCTATAATGGATTATCAAAGTTTTACATAGGAATATATAGGGAAAATTTAAAAAAAATCTTCTCAAGAACAGCAAAGCCATGATTAGTCATATTTATATGGAAGTTTCTTCAGATAGTGTAGATTCAAGTTTGTTTAAATCAAGATCCCTCGGGGAAGGTTGGGGCCACAATGAAAGTTAAAACTTATAGGAAAATAATCTTTAAAAAATCTTTGAAAGCCACAATTAGTCAAATAAATATGGAAGTTTCCTCAGCAAGTGTAAATTCCAGTTTCTTCAAACCATGCCCCACCACTTTAGGGGTAGGTTGGGACCACCAATATGTATTTAAACTTTTCAATACTGAACTGATTTCTGCTTTTTTTCTCCTAGCCACAGTGCTCGGGTGAGATATATGGCCCTTAGGGCTCTTATTTTGTAAGCATCAGTCAAATATTCAGTATGCCGCTGTTTTTTTTTTTTTTTTTTTTTTTTGTTTTTTGTTTTTTTTGGGTCATAGTCATATATAAATAGTTAAATACACATATGAATAAAATGTACACAACAAAACAATTGTACTCATTAAAACACTTGGATAGACATGTTTTAAAAGTATCATGGGGGACATCCTTGCAATGCCAGGGGTCCTGGGTCCTGGCTAATTTCATGTGATATTTTAAGTCTTGCTTCTCTCATTGAGAAGCACCAATCAAATTGAAGCTTTCAGAAATATTTAGATATGATAATGTAAACAGGAAGAATCACCTGTTACAAGTTGTTTATCATAGAATATGGCTTAATGTGATTGGTTGAGAGATGAGAAAAACAATGGATTTGAAAATTCCCCTAAAGATAATGCTACAGTCAGCCCATGATATTAATGAATGAAATTGACCAGGGGTCCCATGCAATGTATTGAATCAGGGCCCCTTGGCATTGCAAGGGGGGGGGGGGGGTGTAGCCAGGACAAGTCACTTCAGATGCATGACACTCCTAACCATTTTACAAGGGTCTGTTTTTCCTAGGGGGTCAAAGACCTTTTTATTTTTGCTTATTTTCTTAAGCATTTAATATTTTTGTAAATTCCTTGTGGGTCTCCTGTAGATTTATGCTTACTGTATGCATAGCATAGGATTAATATAATTATGTACTATTTAATGTAAAATGTTCAGGGCATAATTATTAATAGTGTTATTGGTTTTGTATTCATCACTCATATAACAGAATGTCTTTTGGCAGTTTACCTTATATTATTCATCATATTGTGTACATGAATAAAAGATAGAACAAAAAATTTAAAGCCAAACTCCGTTGACCACAAAAAAAAAGGACTTGTGACAAATGAAATAAAATGTAGATCATAGATGCATTATTTCTCAAATCCATCAGCCTGGCTTGATTTTCTTGAACTTGGGTCTCTTTTTCTGTTTTGACCTGGAAGTTCATCTGATCCAATGGTTCAAGAGAGCTTTTCTGATCCCTTAAGGACATACGCAACGTAGTTTGAACTTTATTGTTGTTTTCCTTGGAGTTGTAGAGTTCCAATACTTAAAGGAACTGTGTGCTACATTTTAATGTCTATATATTCTGTTGTACAATTCTTCTTAAACAAGTTTGGATAAACATCTAGAATATATGTTTAGTAATTTTCGTATATTTTTTCTTTGAATATTATACAAGAATTTTGCATCAATTGGTGTCTTTTCAAAACCCCTGGTATTATTAAATAAAAATACTCCACCAAAGGAATTGTCAAATAAATTGCACCTTGAATTTTACAATGAAGTCTATGGGGAGTGCAGGTTTTATTAAGATATTGTAAGAAGTAATTTGAATTTCATGTAGAGCTCTTGGTGAAAATATGCATAAACTCTCTCTTTATTAAAATATGAAATAAAATGAATCATTTGCCACAGATATTTTGATAAAATTAAATTTTTGGGTTTTTCATCAAGGGCAGATAACTCTTCAAAAAATGTTAAAGTGCAAAATGACCAGCTTCTTTCATGTTATCAGTCATGTGAATTTGGTTCATTTCCCTTTCATCATTATCTAGCAATACATTTTTAACTAGTTTAAAATGATTCAAAACAGTTCAAAATCCATTCAGTATACACTGAATACCTTAATACATGTATCAGACTTTCTCAACAGAACTACTGGACCAGTTTTAACTAAACCTGGCACAAATGAAGGAGAAATTTATTTTCAATGAGGAGAAAACTAAAAAGTAATAAAATTTAAGTAAACAATAAATCAATTCATTTTGGCATGAAGACCATTGGTTTCACTAATAGGATGCTTCCTTTTCATACTAGTTATCATGAAAAAAATTGGCAGGAAAAAAATTCTCCATCTCAGGTTTCCCTTGATTATGCATGGTAATTATAAAAACTCTAACTGTGTTTCAAACTTTTTATTTCAGGGAATTTGTGATAGAAGATTGTGCAGATCTGGACAAAAATTCAATGTGAATAACTTTGAAGAAAGAAGTCTTGGCAAATTTCAGAGAATTTTTGATGGAAGAATATGTGTTGTTCCTGAACATTTTGCACATGAAATTTGTCCTTTTGACATCATTTGACACTAATTTGAAGTGATGCATTTTTGATAAATTTGTACATGTATATGAAATACTCCATTTAAAGTGTCACATCTGTGTCTCAGGTTACTGCTGATAAAGTGGGATCTGCATGAGTGAACAAACTTGAATTTCTGCATTTATATTGATTGCATTTATGAAATTTGTATTTACATTTACCAAAGTACCAAAGAATGTATTAAAATTATATGAAAATGGATGATTTGTGATGATTTTTTATGGTATTTTCTTGGATCTGAATGTCAAACATATAAAGGAATGCATGTTGGAAAAGCTGGATTGACTTCTTTGAGCTCTGCCATACATGTATGTACATGCGATAATGGCATTTTTATGTATGTATATGGCAGCTTATGGTGAAGGTCGAAGTTTTTCAAATTCATGTCAAACTCCAAGGTCAAGAGATCACAAATGTTATTATCCAAAGACAGGTCTTGTCTCAAGAAATGTGCAAGTAAAATATGAAAGCCCTAGCACTTACCTTTGAAAAGTTATGGTGAAGATTAAAGTTTTTCAAAAGTTGAACAACAAGTTCAAGGTCAAAATTAATGGTGGTCATGGGAAGGTCTTGTCATAAGAAATATGAAGCCCTAGCCCCAACTGTTCAGAAATTATTGCCAAGGTAAAAGTTTGGTAAAATTTTACAAAAATGGGTCAAACTCAAAGGTCAAATATGTTGGTACCCAAAGAAAGGTTTTGTCACAAAGAATACACATGTGAAAAATGAAATGCATAGCTCCAACAAAACAAAAGTTATGGGAAAAGTTAAGTTTTGGGGACATACATACAGATAGACAGGGCAAAAACTATAAACCCCTGAATCATCTTTGATTAGGGGGGCATAAACAACACTGATGTATTATACAGATTTGTTCGCACTGTACAGGAACCAAATGATGGCTATAATATGGGGTCAAAACTGAAAAAAGGTAAAAATTAGGAAAATTATGCATTTTTTTTGTATAGTGTATATGTGTCTGATAATCCATAAATCCATGCACGCATTTTAATGTAAAAATGACAATTATGCAGTACCTCATGCTTGACCATGAGAAAAAATTCACACTCAAATTTAGTATTCAAAAAAAAGAAAAAAAATTACATGTAAATGTAATGTGAAGCAGTCACCCATTCAAGGGTTACACAGGCTCGACATTGCTTAACTTGTCTAATATAGAGGGAGATTTTACCGCATCACTAGAAAAGCTAGCTCACTAGCGACTCAGTACAAGTTCCCTATATACTGTCCGATACATTGGTACATATTTCCTAAAAATATAAGCACATAACAAAACTAAAGAAAATTGTTTATTATATTGTTTCAGTCTGACATAAACCTTTTTTTTTTCTTAGATCAATTTCAATCCACACAAGAGAGAAATGAAATATCTCTAAATTTCAGTAACATATCAGTGTCCTGTTTGTGTATGTACATGTGGGATTTCATCTGCTATTGCATCTGTACATATTCTGTATTGGTAATCTTGAAATGCTTAAAGATTGATGTCATGGATTCTCAAATTAGATAAATCATCTAGTCTAAAACTTATAGGCTCAGTGTAAAAGATGTAGTAGTACAGAATTAAGTGATAGCAATAAGTCTGGCAGTCTATAAATCCATCCGAATTTAAATAGATCTGTCTCCTTCTTCAGATCCTTTTCTTTCAAACAAAACATTTTTCAAAATTGGTTATGACGTCATCCATAGGCATTTCTGAAATATAACAATACTATTACATCACCTGATTGTTGATCAATGAAAAGGACACATAACAAGAGGCCCATGGGCCATAATGCTCACCTTAGTCACCTTGTTCCTGGCTGAAGAATTTAAAAAAAAAAAAAGTCCTTTATTCCAATGAAAAATTACCTAATATTGTGGCCTCACCTTAGCCTAAAGGTTTGTAATTAAAAATTTACTTGAACCCCATAACATGTTCTTGTGTCCTTCCATCACACTTTGAACTTTTATATGCTGATACATATTGATGAAAGCTACTCAACATTTTTTTACCTTGACCTTTCCTTTGAACCTGACCTTACTTTTCTTAAATTAGATTGTTAAGCTCAGTTTCAAGAGCTATTTAAGATATTTTTATCAAATCTTATATGCTGATACATATTGATGGGACCCATTCAACTTCATCAACATATTTTTGATTTGACCTTTCCCCTGACCTTGACCTCATTTTTCTTAGATTAGTAAGTAGCTCTATTCAAGGGATTTGGATCAATCTTCATATGCTTATACATATTGATAAGAGCTATTCAGTTGCATAAATTTTGTTGATCTTGACTTCTCTCATTTTCTCTCAATTTTGTGTTAATTGCTAAGCTCAATTTTAAAGAAAAAATTGTGATTTTTTATTCAAACTTCATATGCTGATACATTTTGAAGAGTGTTATTGAACTGCAACATAAAATTTTGACCAGGACTTTTCCTTGGACCTTGATATCACTTTTTTCTTAAATAACTATATGCATGTAACACAGTTTCAACAAAACAATTCCATATGCTTTTATGTAAGCTTATGCACTGATGCAAAATTTGTTAAGAATTTATCAACTTTGTTCAACCTTTTTACCTGGACCTTTCCAATGACCTTTTTTTTTCAAGATATTATCATCAAACTTCATACACAAATGCAAAAATGCAAATTTTCATGATGCATGATAAGCCCTAGTAGGGGTATTCATGTCCTATGGTCAAATTTCTAGTTTGTAGTGTATTCCCATGCAAATTTTTAATCCCATACTGTGGCTCCATCCTCTCAAAGGGCAATCTCCTATGCAGAGTTGTCATTCGTTCCTCTCTCAGACACCTCTGCAATGGGCTCGCATCAAGATTTTGACATTATAATGTAAAAAACATAACATTCCCAGAATTATTTTAAATTAAATTAATAGTTCTAGATCTACTTGGAAAGTAGCTACCTTTAGGAACAAAATTAGTGCAGGCATTTAATTAAAATGAATTTAAACAAACACACTATTTTTCATGTTTATCACTGTGATATATGCGAGCAGATGACAGAGGTGAATGTATGAGCCGATGGTAGAGTGCTCAAAGGGGTCTTATTTGACTGAAAATGAAACTACGCTATGCCAGGAAGTTTTCACATAAGTTTTAATTTTTTCTGCCTAGTGGTTCTTAAGAAGATTTTCAAATGACACCGTCAAACATTAATTTTCTCTTTATGACCTCCCCTTGGCTCTTCATTTGAAAAAAATTAAATCCTTTCCACCAAATATTGTCTTGTGACAAATTTGGTTGAATTCTGGAAAAAAAAGTTGAAAATGTGAAAAGTTTACAGATGACTCAACATTTATGAATGATAGACAGATGCCAGACACTCTTTAATCAGAAATGTTCACTTTAACCTTGGGCTCAGTGAGCTTAAATGTACAGTATTTAATAATAATTATAAAGTAGATGTCTGTTTTCAATATATTAAGAATGTAAATATAAATATAGCACCTACTATATTATCCACATCCTAAAATTTATATATTCTGGAGCATGTTTTTTTTTAAATTGTACTGCAGAATATATCAATTCTAGGATGTACATAATTTTCAAAAATTCTGATTAATGTAAAAATGTGCAATTACTCTTTAGATTTTCTTAATGCCCCCCCCCCCCCTTTCCTGGCTAAATCTGCCACTGTGATAAATAAATCAATTTCTAATTCTTTTGAACACTGAATGTCCTTTTTACCTCTGTGCCATCCATAATTCTTTGAATGTAAAATCCTTTTCTTTCTTTACAACACTGTTTTCTTTTCTTTTTTTTTTAAACCTGCATACTTCTATAAATCAAGATTCTTTGTATAGCTCCTAAAATAAAATGTGCAAATTATTCTTTAAACAACAGGCCCATGGCCCACATCGCTCACCCGAGCACTTTGGCTAGGAAAAATTGGAAATCAGTTCAGTATTGAAAAGTTTTAAATATATGAGTGGTCACAACCTATGGGGGGCATGATTTGAACATACTTGAATCTACACTAAATGAGTATGCTTCCATATTTATTTGACTCATCATGGCTTAAGAAGATTTTTAAAGATTATTTTGTCATAAGTTTTATCATCTATTGGGCCCCTCCCTACCCCCATGAGTCCTGATTTAAACAAACTTGAATCTATACTTTAAGAGAATGCTTCCATATAAATATGACTAATCATGGCTTTGCTGTTTTTGAGAAAATTTTTTAAATTTTCTCTATGTATTTCTGTGTAAAACTTTGATAATCCATTATAGCCCCACCCTACCCCTGGGGGTCATGATTAAAACAAACTTGAATCTACACTACCTGAGGATTTTTCCACAAAAGTTTCATCTTTCCTGGCCCACAGATTTTTGAGAAGAAGATTTTTAAAAGATGATATTAATTTTTCACTAAATTAATTTGTAATTATCTCCAGTTGGAAGGAAGTGTGGCTTTTATTTGAACAAACTTTAACCCCCTTTACCTCAGGATTGTTGTTAAGTTTGTCGAAAAAGGTCAAGCAGTTCTTGAGAAGAAGTCAAAAATGTGAAAAGTTTAAAGAGATATGGACACCAGACAAAATGTGATCAGAAAAACTCACTTCAGCCTTTGGCTCAGGTGAGCCAATAAAAAGTAAAGTAATAAAAAAAAAGTTTTCGCCTACTTACCTTCCCTAATATTTTTGGCATGTTACCAGAAACAAACACATTATAATTTTTTTATTGGCTTAAAGGGAGAACAGTCCCTCATGCCAGCTGATCCCAGATTGACCCCACAAAGAGAAATACTATTTTGAAATATGCTAAAGTTGTCTATTGTTAACAAAGGCTATACATGTATTTTTTAATGATATTTATCAAGGACTTAGTCACCTTACCAATAACTTTTGAAATAGAGTATCGGGGATCCCTTGCACTGTATTCCGCAATTCCTGCTTCCAGGCAGAATTTATTGTTCAATAGTTCCATTTCCTATCTGAATTCTCTTTGAATCTGTGGCAGAAAAACAAACTGTATGCAAAATCTAAAAAATATCAATGGGTACATGTACGAGTATGATTATGGCATGTACAAAGGAGTAGACATGGTAGATGAGAAATAATTTTGGTTAGGAAAAACATTTTTCACCATGTTAAGGTCACTACCTTTTTATAAAGGGGTGGGGGTAGAGGTGGCAAATTTTGTCAAGTCAGATTATTTATTTATTTTTAGCATTCACAGGACAGAATATTTATTTCCAGTTGATCTAAGAATGATTATTTACTTTCTTTTCTTGTCCAAAATCAGAAAACCACTTAACCACATGCAAGAAGGGTGTGTGTGTGTGTGGGGGGGGGGATATCACAGTGACAGTCATGGTCTGACAGGGTCATTGTTTTCCTTTATTTCTAGCAATGCCAGTGGATGAAGTTAATTTACTTAAAAATCAAGGTTAAAATATTTATTTCCTTAATCTATCAGTCCCCCCCCCCCCCCCAATCAAATGATCGTCCCTATATGCTCTTAATCAGGCAGGTGGTTTTAATAAAGTACTAGTATGTGCTTAATCTCACATTTATGCACATGATCTATTTCTGACAGCTGTCTGAGGCAATTCGAACTACCTGTTTGTTCGGTAGCTCTAGCTTAATTACAATAAACTGACAGCTGATTCAAGAGACATTATCTGAATGATGCCAGTCATTTACATGTACATTAATGATTAGTCTTTACTTACCTCTTATAGCCTAGCTAACGTTGGACTTTCTGTCTTCGTTCCACTTTGTTTACATGATCGAACAGCGCACATGGCCTTTTCACGTGACGATCTCCCTCGCATCGACGCTTGTTTTCCGTCACGCTTCAAATAATATTTCTCCACGCTTCAAATAATATTTCTCCACGCTCAAGATAATATTTCCTTCACGCTTCAAATAATGTGTGCAGTCACAATTATAATCGCGTCTCAACATAATTATTGTTTCAACAGGAGGACAGAGTTTTCGTTCCTGTCACTAGAAAAGAAGTTATCTTTCCTGTTGAAAAATGAAAATAATTGCGAACAAGGGCGCACATCATTATTATTGTTGCAAAGATTATAACGTCGACTTGGTACATTATAATTTTTAAGCGTGTACATTTTTATTTATTTTCAGTCAGTACATTATTGTTACAGGAGGTGAAGTCTTATAAATTGTTGAGGCAAGAATAATTATAATCTTGGTGCAAAATAAAAATTATGTGTACGAATCGACTGACAAGATTATAATTTGGAGGTGTATAAAAATAATGTCTCCGTACTAACTGAAAAGATTATAATTGTAAAGTGAGAATAATTATTATAATGTAGGGGCAAAATAAAAATAATGAGTACACATGGACGGACAAGATTATAATTGTTGTAGGAAAATAATAATGTTAAAAAAAAAAAAAAAAAAAAAAAAAAAAAAAGCAAGATTTTTTATTTTGGGATGAGATAATTATTTTTGGTATAATTATATAGGAAAAAATAATAATAATGTGGGGGTACCCTACGGCTTTCCATACTTTTCTATAACTCTCACAAGAGAGCATTATGAAAGTTGGTTGATTTTCTACTCTGTTTAACTTGTAAATGGTCTCTTTTTCCTCCAAGGCAATTGGGACCTTTCGGGGAGGATGCATAATTTGCTGAATGTTCTCTTCAACTTTGATAGTAAGCCATACCAGTATACAAGTACACCAGTCATGTAAACAAGTACTAGTGTTCCGGATACTTATGTCTGTGAGATACTGTGAATCCTTTTATGAGATACTGTGAATCCTTTTATGAGATACTGTGAATCCTTTTATGAGATACTGTGAATCCCTTTATGAGATACTGTGAATCCCTTTATGAGATACTGTGAATCCCTTTATGAGATACTGTGAATCCTTTTATGAGATACTGTGAATCCTTTTATGAGATACTGTGAATCCTTTTATGAGATACTGTGAATCCTTTTATGAGATACTGTGAATCCCTTTATGAGATACTGTGAATCCTTTTATGAGATACTGTGAATCCTTTTATGAGATACTGTGAATCCCTTTATGAGATACTGTGAATCCTTTTATGAGATACTGTGAATCCTTTTATGAGATACTGTGAATCCTTTTATGAGATACTGTGAATCCTTTTATGAGATACTGTGAATCCCTTTATGAAGACTTGTATATGCTACATGTAGCTGCGCATTATAGTCATACAGAACAATATACCTGCTTTAAGTACGTGAACTAAATACAGATTTTTAAAGAAAATTTATAACGTTATTTTTCGATAATTATATGATCAATTTACTTTACCCTTGGATATAAACCCTCGACCAATGGGTCATATATTTTGAAATGTCAGAAACCAGATGAATACTTTGTCGGCAAGATATACATGCGTAAAAAAAATTCAAGTGTGTCGAAAAAGTGTTGATATGAAGATTTGCAAAGAATATTTCAATACAAGTATATTTAAGAAATTTAATAGATCAACCCTGGGGCCTGAAACCTGGATCCACGGGTCGATAATTTTCAGGCAAATGGGAATCTCAAGCTTACGATTTTTTAAAGGGATTTTAAACACACACCCACCATCAACTGCTTACATGCGAAAAATATATTTAAAAATATACTGAAGAACGAATAGATGAAAATAAATTTATTCTAAAAACATATTACAAAAACATCCCCTTATAGCATAAGGATTAATAATTCAGATCTCTATTTAGGTAACACAGCTAGTGATTGTTTATTCAATGAAAATTAATGGATATTCAATGAAAATTAATGGATATTCAATGAAAATTAATGGATATGAAGGGGGTGATTTTATCGTTTTGTTATATGAGATGGATTTTTTTGTTAATTTTCATTGCGTTTAAATTTTAACTATCTTTTTTTTCAAATACAAAGTTTACAGCCCCATTCCAAAAAAAACTCTCCCAGAGGCGCACTGCATTGTTGCACTATTTGTGAGGTATTTATATGTATACAAAAAAACTTTCAAAATATAGCACTACATTTTTAACATGCAAATCATTGTATGCATGTACATATATAAACATTTAAGAGTAAATTGTTGGATAAATCATCAAAAGAGGTCAAAGGAGACCGTGGGTCAGTGATCCATTTGCAAGCACTAGCAAACTTAACGAAAGAACGTTGTAGATCGATAAAACCCAGGGCAGAAGACCTCGAAGTACAGAATGTACACTAAAAGTATCTAAACATATAGATAATAGAGCCTTTTGTTCAGTAAAGTTTGGAAATTCGTATCAACAAAAAGAAAAGGGAATTTTTTTACCTTACGAAAATCTCAACGAATAATTAAATTATACAGTTTTAAAGAATGTTAATGAGAAAGCGTTTTAGTAAATGAAGAAAGAATTCTGGAAAAAAATTCTATATCAAACATAATTTATAAAATACAATTTTTGGTAGCATAGGAACTTAAAATGGTAAATGAGCAATGTTTTCTTTGTTAAATGTATGTTTAAAATATATTTCAGAAATATTTTGATACTTAAGGACACCTTGCGCTGCTTCGTTCAAACATTACTATATGAGGGTCGTTCAATGAATAATGCATAAAAAGCAGTTCCGTCATATAATTAATTCTTCAAAGTATTCCTCGATAACCTTTCTCAATTCTCTTTATCAATAACCGAAACACCTCAGCATATTGTTTTTGGGGTAACCCCAAAACGACAAATTTAAAATACAATGTAGGGGATGGTTAAGATCTTTGGGTAGACTTTACTTTACCGGTCCCCAGATCCGCAAGATCCGCACGCTCATTGCACTATTTACGTCACTCAACTGATAACGGTTAGTCTTGCATATTTTAGATTGCACAACCAGATTACACCAGCTGGTAGGGGACTACATGTAGTATTGCTAATGAATACTATCAGAATGCTTGTTTGTATTGAAGTGTCCTCAGGAAGTAAACATTAAAGTTTTTTTTCGAATCATGACCGCACGGGGGTAAGGAGGGACCACAATATAAAATCAAAATTAAACATAAAAATATTTACCTGTAGGGAAAAAAACCGTTCAAATAATATTTTCAAGAACAGAAAAGCCACTATATGTCAAATTTATATGCAAGCATCCTCAAGTAATGTAGATTCAAGTTTCTTTAAATAATGACACCCCCGCGGAGGGAAGGGGTAGGGAGGGGCACTTTGAAGGATCGATGTTTTACATAGGAATATTTTGGAAAAACCTTAAAATTTTCATCCTAAAAAGCAGTATGATCAGTCATATTTATAAGGAAGCATCCTCAAGTAGTTAAGAATCAAGTTCCTTCAAATTCAGGGCTCTCGATTGTCTATAGTTGGGGCCGTTCAAGGGCCCCATTCCCAATTCAAATAAGGTACCTTTTTTCCCAATTGAATATTTTAATTTTCCCAACAGTCATTTCTCAAAAAAATTAAAGAAAATATAGTTGGATATATAATAACTAAATTTGCTATTCCTACTCCTCTGTATTGCAATACAAATCTTTATTTGATAACAAGACCAGAAAACCAGCATATCATGATTTTAAAATATAACAGTTATCCCAAAATTTTCCAAAAGATTGTTATTTTCCCAATATTTACGGCCCCGGCCCCATTCCCAAAAATTGGTGTGAGAGCCCTTAAATTATGACCCTGGAGGGTTAGATGGGCCACAATATGTGATCAAAGTTTTACATAGGCATATATAAGGGAAAACTGTTTATGAAGAACAGATGGGCCATGGTGACTTTGATGGACATTATGGCCCATGGTTCTCTTGTCTTTATCTCCAATCAATATTCAAACATTGGCGTAACCTGGCTTAAAAGTAAAGAATGCTTAAGATCTGACTGCCTTTCAAAAATTAAGGACAGACTGACAGACAGATAGACGGAGGGACAGCTAGACATATAGACGGACGGACAGACGAGAAGAAAACCTATAGTCTCCTCGGGTTTCATCGGTGGGGGACTAATAAAGTGTTTTCAATTTAAATAAAATGTATTAATTTTTTCACCCTGGACAGAAGATAAACGTCTTTATCAACATAGAAATAATCGAAGTAATATTAATTTGCAGATATGTATTCTCAGTATACACATGTACATCTATATCTTGATGTAACATTTACATATTGTACTGTGGAAACAATTTAATTCGTGAGGGTCAATGTTCGTGAGTATTAAAAATGTTATTTGATCGTGATTGTATTTAAAAAAAGATGCAATGAATGGATACTGTGACAAAGTTCGTTCGTGGGGATGTAAATTCTTGGTAACTGTGACTCACGAAACACAGAAACATTGGTCCCTTACGAACAATGATGGTTCCACAGTGATATTTAAAAGGATATCAGCTTTTTCTCAAAATTCAAACAACCCTAAGTGGTAAATCTGAAAGTAACGTTAATATCTCGGTTGACTTATTATATGGTTATGCCAATTCTGAGGAAGAATACCGATAAGAAATTCAACATGAAAGATTCGTGTTACATTGAAAAGATACGGTGATACATGTAGATATATTTTGTTCACATTTAAAATGATATTACTTGTAGCATTTTGATTTAGCATAATTCACATTTCATATCTTATCATCTCTTTTTTTCATTTATCTTCAAATTTATTTGAATGTAAAATAAATACATGTATACATAAATATGGGACATGTATAAAGGATATATAGTCATGCCACACTGACCTGCTTTAATAGGCTTAGCTTACTGTCCATTTCCATTCAGCTTATAATATAATAATTTATAAATAAGAATTAAATTTTAAATGTATTTAAATAGCTAATAATTCTCTTTTTAGATAAAACTTAAAGTGTTTCAGACATAATAACATTGCTGTCTTGAAATTTTAGTTTTGGTTCTTAAGCAGCTCTAAAATTCCTGAAGAGAAAAGATCCTTTTTTGGAAAAATTAAATTTTTCTTTAAATATTGTTTACGGGGATATCCTTAAAAAAGTATAACAATTCCTTCTTTTAAAAGACTTTTTTTAATTTTAAAAATGGATTTCTAGAAAATGTGTCCTAATGTAGTTTGCAGTTCCAATTAAGACTATGCTGTGAAAGGCATATGATGACCAGTGTCAAAACTCGCTTCCTGTTTTTACATTTGGGGGGGGGGGGGGTCAAATTTTGCCCAAATTTGCGAAGTCCAATTGAATATCAAAAAATAATTGCCCTTGTTTGGTTATAAAATTCTCTAAATTTTATTCCTAAATTAGGAAGAAAACTTTTCCATTTTATCCCAAAGTTTGCCACCACCCCTTCAGCCCCCCCCCCCAACTCCGCATTTTCTTTTGTCTCAGAGTGTGGACAGTTTTAATTTAGTGTCAGCTCCTCATCAGACGCTAAAGGTTAATAACTGAAACATCGATCTGAACAGGTTGCCGGGATTTTAATCTCAATAGTCAATTGCAAAATTTCCCCTTTCTGTTTTTACAGCTCGCACATGGTCTGCATATTGTCAACGATCACCCGACAAATCTGTCAATAATTTCTACTCGACTTTAGAAAAATATTTATCCTGTTGCTAACTCACCTTTTATAACGACTGGTTTATCCCGGAACTTTAACTAAGGACGGATAACTCTAATTTACCTGTCGATTTTTTTCTACCTGGCCAGAAGCGGGTTGATATATGTGCACCCGGATTATCAAGCTCAGCTGTTGGGATTAAATTTAAATCTCTGCATATTTTAGGCGGGTCTAATTGACTTGGATTAATGAGTTTTTAGGTAGGTCGAATTAATATTAAACTTTCTTTTGTCTTGAGAAATTTATTGTAAAGTGAAATTTATAACGGTGATTCGAAACAGTAAATCTTGCTCATTGAATATAGACATGTAATTTATTTAACATGCCTGCTTGACAGTACCAGGCATTTAAAAGCGTCACTTTCCAATATTGGTCACGATTAACAAGATACTTACGTAAATTGACATTTGACTATTAATTATTTGCAAGGAACACGCAGGACTTTTCGTGCACCTTTTCTTATACCGACTTTCTCAAATCAAAAATAAGGAGACCTATAACTTGGAGTTTGGATGTTCCTTAATCACATAATAATTTATATTAAAATAAATCATATGTAGGTGTACGCGTACTTATAAAAAAAATAACAAAATAACCAATATAACAGTGGTTATTGATCCAAAAATCTTTTTGAACTTCGTACGATGTATGGTGTTTATCCGAATGTTAAATAACTTCATCAGGTCGAAAGAAGAAGACCTTTAATTCCAGATTGTATCTTGAGGTTTTTGCGTCGTATATTTTTAAAATATGACACATAATATTTATCATTCCACTTGTAGGATCAAATCAAAATATTTGGTAAAAAATCAAAATTGATATCTTTGAACGTGTCATATACATGTATACAAGTTTCATATCTAGTTCCGATGCCATTCCTTTTTATTAAATTGTAGGGGGTAAAGAAAAAAAAATCAGCATTTTTTGTCATAATTAAACGAACTTTAGTTATAAAAGCACTTTTTATTTATCGTTCCTAATTTTGTTATTCATGACATGATATTTTTCTTTTACTGAAAATTGAAGTGAAGGTTTTTAATTAAACTTGAAAATTCTCGAACAGCATTTCAAAATATGGTCATTTTAATCAATGTATGAGTAAACCTTGAATGTCTTTCAATATAAAAGTATTAATGATTAAAGACCATGTTTTCTCTATAGAATTCTTTCATAATATATTTTTATTATGTTTAAAAGGACATCTGAATGAACACAAAAGCACACTGACGACTTTCTTTTGTAAGGAGTCGCTGGATCGCGTATTTTAACCCCCGTGACCCAGTTTTGTTTCGGTGTAATGTGTATTGATTATAGATCACCAGTAAAACACGGTGTGTGAATTTGTAAAATAGAAGCAGAATGATCTTGCTGTGTAGAATTTTTATAGAAACCTCTTTCTTTAAAACATGTTAAAACCTTTTCATTCTGTTAAGAGGTATTTAATGGCACGTTGTCTCTATAAATGTAAGCATCGGGAATTACAAAGTTTGGTATGTTTAATCAAAATAAATCCTTTCAAAATATAACTCATTTCAAAACATCCGAACTCTCTTATACAATATATGGAGAGAGAGAGAGAGATACTCAATTTTGCGCAAAAAGAGAAAAATTGTCCATTTGATCCGTTATACATGTATGCCCCTATAAAAATCTTTACTTATCAGATTCGAGCTATATCTTCATAACAGAAATAGAAACTTACGTAAATTTTCAATATATATCTGTAATACAAGAGTAGAATAGTCATTTTTTTTTAAATTAATTTTAGCTATGCTACATGTAGTACCCTTTCTCTGTGTATAGTGGAGAAAATACACAAAACAGTCAATCGATTTTATTAATTTTTTTAATAGAGTAAAGCTATTTTTGTGTGATAAGAAGCCACTATTTATAAGTAAATGTTTGTAATTGAATGCATGTTACTATGCTTTTGTCATCATATGAAATTCATTCGCCATCATTACATTGTAATATTATAGAATATTTAGATAAAACACGTTCAATTTAATAAATTTAGATCAACAAGTATCCCCTATTGCTTTTATTGATTCAATATTCTTTCTCAGATTTGGTGTAGGAATAGATAAGCCTCGACATTGTAATCTCGTTAACTTGCTTTCACAAGTTTTACATCTGTCCAGTATACCTGCATGTTTTTCTCTTTCTCTCTTCCCTCCCTTTCTCTCTCTCTCTCTTTTCTCTCTGCATCTCTCTCTCCCTCTTTTTCTTTCTCTCTTTCCCTCTTTTCTCTCTTCCTCTCTTTCTCCCCCCTTCTTTCCGGTTTGATGATTGAGTACATTAATGTATCCGAAAAGCACTTTTATGTAGCATGTATCCAATTTTGGCCAAATATTTTCAAATATATATTTCTAAATATAAAAAGATCTTATTTGGTTTTAAAGGGGAGATCAGGTACATGTACATGGTCTGTTTTCGGTAATTAACGACATGCTGAGAAGAAAACCGATCGTCTATGTTAATAATGATTAATATCGATACACACTTTCCCCATGTTTAAAAACTAGAACGGTTCAAAACGCATTAAGCGATTATCTAAGTCTGGCTTTGTCTGCAAACGACCATTGGTGTACATAATTGGGTGTATTTATTCAGAACAATGGTCGAAGCAGATTTCAATTCTCGGATGTAAATAATGTATTAGTGAAAATTTGGAATAATATATTTCTAGGGAATATAGAGAATCAATTATAGATACAAACAAAATGCCGATCAAAGAAGTAAGTTTTGTTCTGAATGTGTCTGATTTAATTAGTTTTGAATTTCAATTTACAAATCGATCTCAGGTGTATTTCACAATCGATGAAATGATTGATTTCTCCTCTCGCATGGCGGGCTTAACTTATTAACATTTACTAATATTTTTGAGTTCTTCAGGTTTATTTTTGTATGTGACGAAGAAGAAATAACCCAGCTTTCTGGATTTTGTTAGTCAAAGATGCATTCTTAATGTCAAATATGAATTATTTAATGAAACATTTCATATTTTTATGATATACCTATACATTACTTTTTCAGTCTATCCTCTTCTACATCAACACACTGTATACCATATAATCTTCATAAATCTTAAAATATAATGAATGTTGAAATATCCAAATGTCTAGACCTGTGCTGTTTCCGGTAGGATTTGTACATGTAGCTGCTTTGGGGGGGGGGGGGGGTTAGCTGCAGATCTGTAGCTCGTTGGTCTGAAAAAAATTGGGTTGGACGACCAGAGAGTCACAGTGCCACTTATTGAAAAAAGTGTATATCTATTGCACACAAAAAGTGCGCTGTTTCTTGATTAATTCCTTGCATTTTTAGGACTGAAATTAAAGTGAAAATTTCAAAACAATATAGTTTAATTTACGACTGTTCTTAATATTTCAATACGTCCTTACATTTTGATAAATTAAGCAAAAATATAAAAATGACTAAGACCCCTACTTATAACCTGAAAATTTCACTAATGTGGTATCAATAACTTTATAAGGTTGTAAGGTTCACAAACTACGGAAGCCGGTAGGGGCAAGGTAGAAAAAATATTTTATCTGGCGGCCGCCATATAAAAACCTGGCAGCCACCAGAAACTTATCTGGCTGCCGCCAGATAAAAAGATCTAGCGGCCGCCAGATAACTTATCTGGCGGTCGCCAATTATTTATGTGGCGGCCGCCAGATAAAATATTTTTCTACCTGGCACCTACCGGCTTCCGTAACAAACATTCAGGAAAACACAAGTTTTGAAAAACATCAAAATTAATCAATAATTAGAAACAAATTTAAAAGTATCAGTACTAAGATGGGGTGTATCGATACGTATTGAAACTACCAATATATCGGGTACTTTCAATATATCGTTGTCGATACTAAAATAGAACGACAGTGGACGAGGGTTGTCAATAAAAAGCTATATTTTTCTTAATAATGACCTTACTGACAAATGTTTACGGTTATATCTTGATGTTTTGATACAGACCATGATTTAGTATAATATTTTCAAAACTGCTGCTCTCTTACAATAAATGAGAATAGAAGAACATATCTAACATGTTTGTATAAGTTTACTTTTATTTGCAGACTTGGACAAGCATCATGCCGACGGCATTCAAAAAACAGAAATACTCCTCAATTCGGAGTGAGTGTCTAAGTAAAGGAATTTTATTTGAGGATCCAGAATTTCCGGCAAATAACAAGTCCATATTTTATTCCAAAATAGACCAGGAAATAGAATGGAAACGACCAAAGGTAAAAAAAGTAAACTATACGTATCGATAAATTATTGTTTCCGCTAAAATTGCATAGGAAGATGCATCCATGTGTGATTCTGTCGGGGTTATGATAACAAGGGTAACGGAGAAAGAGGCCCTTAATCATGTCTTTGGAATTTCATAAGAAAAAAGATAAGATGCAAATACTGTAAACGTGGGTTTACGGTGTAAAATTTTGTGATTTCCATGAAACAAACACTGGTTATTTTCCCAGAAGTAAAGAAATTTGCAAAATGTGTCACTTGCTTTACTTGCTTTGTTGTTTAGTATGGTATCTTATATGAAACCCTTCGCGAGGTTGTAAATTTTGTGAAACTTTACTAAATTCGCATTCAGATTTTCATCACACAAACATTTCCACGTTTATAGCACATTATTTACATTTGCAAATATTTTTTCTTAGATGAACCTATTGAAGAGAAAATATGTTCAATTCTGTATGAACTTATTAGGGGGTCAGAGGTCATGGCGTGACCGAATCACACAGCGAGATGATATCTTGTCTACATATTTCTGTCACGGTGACACTGGTTTCGGAACTTCTAAGCCGTTAAAGCGATGAAAAAGATAGAATTCTTGTAACATATGTTTTTCTTCGTTCAACAAATGATCATTAGTTCTTTCTTCGATGTGAAGAATGTTTTTAATTAGCCTAAAATCACGCTTACCTATTTAACCCGAAATTCCTTTGAAAGTATGTAAACTGAAGACGATACCACCGCTTTTGACTTCATATATTAAGAACTCATACAATAATAGTAAGATTATTCTCAGTAGCGATCATGGATTTTTCATTATGTACAGATATTCCTGAACTGGACTGCTGAACATCAGTGTAAGTATTCAAATGTTGGAGCGAGGCGAACTCTCAAGACCAAACAGCTTCTAGGTCATTGCGCGTCACAACGTAGCTGTTCGTGTATTAAATGCAGTTCTTTTCAGAATATTCGTCTCAAATGTAAATAAAAGTAATAAACAACAATGTTGAAAAGTTCACTGGGAAATGAACTTGGTTGGTACGTGATCATATCTTCTGAGAAGCCCTTCGGGCTTCACAGGATTTGATCACGTGACCAACCAAGTTCATTTCCCAGAGAACTTTTTAACATTGTTGTTTATTTCTTAATAGAACTTTAATGAAAGGTTGATAGCATTCATGTATAAACGTAGCCTTCACAAAATTCTTACAAATGACGTGAACCCCCTTACTCTTCAGATAATAGAAATAATAGAGTACTACCAATCGAGGCAAAAATTCTCCCTCCCACGTCTGCGACATATAGTTAAACAAGCTTATTCAGAGAATTTATGTCCAACGCTTAAGGAAAATAGAAGAACATGCGCGGATCTAGGAGGGGGGTCGAAGTGGAGTGAATTTTAAGAAGGGCAGACTGGGCCATAGGGAGTTCTGGTATAAAATTTCATTGCAAAAGCTTCTTGAGATATCGCCTGGACATGAAAGTTTTACACACGCACACAGAATGTATGAATTTAAGACCTTGACCTTTGACCTTTTGACCTCAAAATAAAGAGGGGTCTTTCTTAGGCCATAGGGAGTTGTTGTATAAAATTTCATTCCAAAAGTTCAAAAGGTTCTCGAGATATCGCGTGGAAACGAAAGTGTTACAGACAGACAGAAATACATAGACGGACGGACGGACGGACAGACATACAAACCGAAATTAATGCCCGCCCTTTCAGTAAAAGCGGGGGAAAATAATGCAGATCACAAGTTTACCTGCAAGTGAAAATGCCAACTGCATTGTACATAAAAAATGTTGACATTTCCTACGAAAATCCAGCTGCATGGGAATTTAATATACATTATCAACAACGAGTGAAATCAGTAAGAAACAAATTGTTTACATTTTGTGGGATCATGTTATGGCCATGTTGCATCATATTTCAGTAAAATGTGTATTTTCTTTTACATATATAGAGAAAGAGAGTTAAAATGTAAACTTGTTCCTTGTTCTTAACAATCTGTGATCAGCACTCTCGGTTTATTTACCTGAGTGCATGACTTACAGTAATTCATCGATTTTCCTCCATTTTTTTATGCTATTCCATTTACAATCTATGGATTTCATTTACACACACAAAAAGACACACTATCTTATCCAATATTTAAAGAGCGCGATAGATATTTGATGTGTGAAGAGTTGGAGATTAAAAGCGTACGGCATTCAATAAGTCATATGTTTGGTGCATATGAAAGGAAACTAAACAAAGCTGGGGGGGGGGGGGGGGGTTAGATAATAGTCATAGAAAATAGTGTGGAGGAAAAAAATCTTTACTGATTACTTGTTCGTACATGTATAATTTGTATCGATAATACAATATAGGAAGGGGGAATCCCAAACTTTATAATTTTCCAATCAAGAGGTATTATATCGACAAAAAATACTCAGAATTCTTTCTTGAGTAAAATAAAAAGGAGAAGGGAGAGGGGGTTGGCTAAAATCAATTTTTGGAAACTTTTCTTATTAACCGTAGCATTTCAAAAATAAAAAGATCTGGAACTAAAAATACGAGTATATAGGGCTATTTTTTTTTCTTATTTTGAAAATGTTTGATTGCATTTTATACTGGTTGTGATTACAGGAAACAAGGACAGGATATATCATTTTTATTACGTTTCAATTTTTTTTTTTAATTGATAATTACCAAATTCCATTGCCATTACAAATTATAAGTGGTCGTAGGGTTGTGGAGTTTAAGTGTGGGAATGCGTTATGGTACTTATCATGTTCTTATCATGATCTTAGGATCCAGTTTTACTGTGTAAATATAATATCACTGAAAATTTAGGGACCCCATCCCACCTCTGCTGGATCCACCTATCGATATGCACTGTGATACTCTCCAGTGTCAGTTTCACTTAATAAATTGAACAACCGTCACTCTAATAATGAGAGTCAATACAATGGATCAGAAATCCATTAGACTATCAACCTTATGCAGATGACAAGTAGACGACCGTGTAACCCCTCGTGGTGAAACAACACTTAGAGGATACCAGTGAAAATAAAACGACAGCTGAATAGAGGGGCAATATGTGAAGTGCACCTCGACTGTTTACAATATTGAGCAGTCATGAAATGTCGCCCTGTGGGGAATTTGTACATAAGTCAAATGTACAGGCTAAGGTCTTATTTACATTAATTATTCTATTATTTTTTTGTATTAATAGCGTAAGTCCGATAGAATCATTAAATTCAGCAATGAAAGATTCATCTTATACATGTATACATGTATATATGCATACATATATGTATGGCAGAAAAATAAAAGATTTCCAAAAACTATAATCTGAAAAAATCTGGAAAAATTAAAACATTTATTTAAGACGCTCTTTATGCATAAATATATACACATAGTAAATCGATGTTCTTGTACTTTCAGTTGTTTTAAATTCACACTGCATTATACTATATCAGTCTATATTAATTTCTGTGTTATTACTTCATTATCTTCTTCGTTACTTAGCGTTAGGAATAATATTTTTCGAGTGCTTTGATCTCAATACTCGAAGAAACAACACAAAGTGCATAGGGCAACAAAATAAGACAGTTTTTGGCAAAATGTCGACAAGATAAGTTGTATGATGTATTTGAATAGCACTTAGTGTACCTGTGTAAATAGATCACATGTTAACTTACACTTGGAAATTTGAAATAGGTGCAATTTGTCAAGTATAAAATTTGTAAATTTTGGGAAGCTTGCATATGCAAGTGCATATAACCCAGCTGTTTCATTACAAAAACTAACCTGTAGTTTTATTTAAATGCTAAGACTATCGAATCGTATAAATGTCAGACGTGAATTGATTGAAAAGAATTATTGATTTTTATAATGCGCTGCATGTTTATAAAATGTACATAGAACTTTGCGTGAGAGATTTCTAAGAATTTTGTTCAATAATGAGAAATCGACCAATGTGTTATCTAATAAGGAAAAGAGTTTACTCAATACTCGTCGCCACAATTTTTTGTGAAACATTTATGTAACTTGTTCATACATGTATCTGTTAAAAGATGTTTAAGATATACGAAAAATAGCCTATTCAAAATCATTTTTACAAAGAACCAAGGTTTAATTTCTAAATTGTAGGCCGTAAATTCTTAAATAAAACGAACTTAAGTCTATTTAAACATCATTCACTCACTTCGCAAAAATTAAAAAAAAATAAGTAAATAAATACACCTAGTGGTTTCAAGATGTAAACATACCAGAATGATTACTCAGTTGAATTTTTTTTTATTAATTGCATCTATTCCGTTATTGTTGTAGCCCCCCCCCCCCTTCCTCATTCTTAATTGTTCCAGGAACTGATTTAGTTTCTAAGACTGGTGGGCTCGGACACTCCCCCCGCCTCTGCCTTTTTTCATCCCATTTTCTAAACTGAATTTTTATATTAATCTTTGTGATCGTCTCTACGAAAACCTATTTGTTATTTAAAAAGGAAACGAATTAACTAAATGCTCTTCGCCACAATTTTTTGTGAAACATTTATGTAACTTGTTCATACAGGTATCTGTTAAAGATATTTACGAGGTACGAAAAATAGGCTATTCAAAATCATTTTATACAAAGAACCAAGGTTTAAGGTAGTACACAATAGATAGGCCAAATTTTTCCTCAAATTCATTTCTTTTTAAAACTTTAAAATTTTGTTTTAGGATACAAAATTTCTCTTTATATGTAACTTGAAAGAAATTAAATCGCACGAGTTTTGCCCACATAGCTTGAAATATGGCCTATCAGGCCCCTGTAAGAAGATTGTGAAATCAGACATTGCACTTTAGAATATGCATTTAAAAAAAAATACCGACTGATTTATTGCAATTTTGAGTGATGCTTTTTATAAATGCAACCTTTCTGTAACTATTTTAGTAAACGGCAGTTTAAGATATTTTGACGATTTGAAAAAAAAATATTCAGTGGAAAAAAATAAAAGATTAAGTAGATGATGACACAATATTTGACCTTTGACTTCTAAAAATGATCTTGACCTTAATTCTGTATAAAGAATGGAGACTCCTTATAAATATGTCCTAATATCAGGTCTCTACTAAATATGGATCAAAAGTTACTTTGCATTTAATAACAGATTGTCATATTGAATGTAGATGGCACAAACACATTCTAAAATTTAGGCTCTTAAATGACCAATAAATAGGATTCTCTAATTTTTTTTTTTTTTTTTTTTTTTTTTTTTTTTTTTTTTTTTTTTTACAAAATATGGAGATAAACATGTCACAACTTATTAATTTTCTTACAAAGGTAATTATTTATTGACATTATAGTAATATTATTCTCTTCTTTTTTTTTCAAATGTATTTATGAGAAATGAGTTAAAACAGATTTCATGGGTATTTAAGTACTACCTTAATTTCTAAATTGTTGAATGTTTATTCTTAAATAAAACGAACTTAAGTCTATTTAAACATCATTCACTCACTTCGCAAAAATAAAAAAAAAAATCTGTAGTTTCAAGAGGTAAACATACCAGTACGTTAGATTTTTTTTTTGATTGCATCTATTCTGTTATTGTTGTAGACCCCCCTCCTCATTCTTAATTATTCCAGGAACTGATTTAGTTTCTAAGGCTTGTGGGCTCGGACACTCCTCCCGGCTCTGCCTTTTTCATCCCATTTTCTATACTGTATTTTTAAATTAATCTTTGTGATCGTCTCTACAAACACCCATTTTTTTTTAATTCATTGTTCCAGGAGCTGTGCAAGGTCCCTAGACTGGTGGTTGACGGGGTTAGCTGTGATGACCTCAATCAAGGAGAACTCGGAAACACGTGGTTTGTAACTGCGTGCGCAAGTTTGGCGCTAGAGAAAAAGATGTTTGAAAAGGTGCTGAGTATTTCTTTGATCATTTGTGAACAGTTAAAAGTACATGAATCTAATTAATGTTGAAATAAGATCAGTTTAATTTTTCTCTCCAAAGAAAAATTCTACTAGTATGCATAATAAGAACCAGTGAATAAACAAACAATTATACTGCTATTAATAAACATATCATTCTTTTAAAACAAAAACTCTGATAGTCTACTTGACAATCAAGTTCTATGTACATGTAACAGGTGATCCCCAGCGTAAAAGAGCAGGAATGGGACGAAAAATCGGAGAAGAATAAGTACAGTGGAGCCTTCCATTTTCATTTTTGGCGGTTTGGGGAATGGGTGGACATAGTTATAGACGATCGTCTGCCAACAAAGAACGGGAAACTGGTTTTTTGTCACTCAAAATCTCGAAACGAGTTCTGGAGCGCTCTTCTGGAGAAAGCGTACGCCAAGTAAGTCTCGGGAAAGTGACCTAACTTCCTCTCAAGGGCAATCGCTCTTGTCATTTATTAACTTAGGTATATCAATTAACAAGTCATAAAGTTTGTCAAAATAAATGTCGATTTACTGGCTGTTCTGATTGAAGATCGATAGAATTATACATGTACATTATTGACTGGATTCGAGGACAACAAGCGATTTGTTGGACCAAAGAACCAAACAATTTGACTCGCGGGGTCGACAAATCGTATTTAGCCCGAGAACACATTCAATAAATGTTATGTCATGCCTTTATTTATTTTCTTTAATTTTTAAGATTATATTTTTTCATTTATTTTTTTTTTGACATACATGTATCTTGTGTTAGCTTCTATGATGTAAATTTCTTTTACCTGCACTGCGGTTTAACTCGTTCAGTTACGTAACTGTCGAACACCATCGAATGCAAATATGATTTGGCTTATCCCGCCCACAGGGTAACATAAGCGGTCCAATATCTCATCGACTGGTCCAATATCTCAATCTGCGTTTCAATATCGATTTTTTTTTTTTGACCACTTAGTAAAACATTGAAAATATTAGATTTTTTAAATCTAGATCTATATAAGAAACAATTTTAAAGGTATAAAAAAAATAAACTAGTTTCTGCTTCTCCTGTAGGTTGTACGGTGACTACGAATCATTAAACGACGGACGAGCGGCGGACGCCTTGGTAGATTTCACAGGGGGCGTGGCAGAGAAACTGGTTCTGACAAGATTGGATTTTAATGACACCAAAATAGTGGAACAGCTGTTTTATAAAATGAGAGAATCGTGTGAGAATTCCGCTCTTATGAATTGTAACATAGAGGTATGTTACTGGTTATGACTGCCATACATTATTTGACAATTAATGTGTTTTATAACTTTTTCCACTAACGAAGTTGAAGAGAAGTTTAAAGGACATGTTTGTTTGCTTTTTTTCTGCTCATTTTTAATTGCTGCTCTTTTGAAGTTTTATTAAATTTTTCATGGTACCATTCAATACAAAAAAAAATTAGAAATATCAACTGCTATGTGTTCACGTTTTTTTTTTCCATAGCACCATTCTTTATTCTTTAAAATTTCTTTGAACAGGGAATTCGTGTCATTTATATGGGCGAGGATTAGTTCTATGATTTTGGCTTTTGATGAAAACTGTATTCCATGAATGTATTTCAATTTATCAGGGATTTTTTTTATCTTTGAAGGATGGCATGATTGTAACCTTTTTTAAGGTGACTGACCTTACTTATACATTGCAGGGTTTCTTTGTCTTTTTCGTCATGACAATACTAGTAATTTTGCCTTAGTTCTCTGCTAATGAGGTGCTGATTGAAGCCACTATTCCTGATAACAAAGCTTAATGATTGAGTGTTTGTTCTGAGAGTAGCGTTCTGTAAAGCTCACTTGTACTTCAATAGATGAATTCTTCATAGTGTATCAGACATTTGAGCTAAGTAAATTAAATTTATGAGATGTTTAGAGACAGATAATAAATAATGTCTCGAATTTTTATCCCAGTGAAATTTCCGTTTCAGCTCATCACAGTCATATTGATTCGTAGATATCCGTTATGTAAAAACAAAATTCTCAAAGATTCATCAATGACAAAAACAGTCTGTCTCTTTCGTTATCTTTGACTTCTGGTGTCACCTGTTTAGCTTGTTTCTGTTTTGCAAGTTTCCAGGAAATTGTTTTTTTTTAATATTTTGATTTTTTTAAAACGTTCTGTTTGAATAAAAATAAATTTTAAACAGTTAAATCAATAATTTTTGTGGGCTTTAATTTCGTCTTTTTCTTGGTATAAAGAGACCCACCAATCCATTGTCCCCAAAGAAATGTTAAAATTTCAAAGTACTCTATCGTGTCTCCTCCCACCCAAGAAATTAAGTCATCTTGAATCGATATTTTATCTCATACTACAAAAATCTGACCGCATGAAAACAGGAGTTATTTAATATTAAATATACAATTTTCAGTGCCAAAAAACAGAAGTTGGTAAAGAACTTCCCAATGGTTTGATTCTTGGCCACGGTTATAACATAACAAAAGTTCTGGACATCAAGGTAGAAAAGAAGCTACAGGGGGCGGTGGGGAACGCCAAACTCATGATGGTCCGTCTAGCCAACCCGTGGGGGATTAAGGAGTGGAACGGACCCTGGTCAGACGAGTGAGTACTAGTTGTCTGTCATTTGCAGTGAATATGTTTTGAGCGGTAATTTTTGAAATTTGTTTGCTAAAGTTTAAATGAATATATATCAATTTTTAATTCTGTTGTAGAGAAGAAGTAAATAAACAGTGTCTGTGTTGGGGGGGGGGGGGGTGTTAGTGCATCGTTTGTGTTTTTGAATAATACAATATTAATTATTTAAACGCAATATTGCAACCGATGCAGGAAATTACAGTTTAAAGATTGATTAAATAAATTTGTGAAAAATATGTTGATGATTTTTTTTTTCTATTTAGTTCCCCTGAATGGTCGAAAATCAACAAATCAGAGTGGGAGAAAATGGGTCTGAAATTCGTACAAGAGGGCGAATTCTGGTATAAATCAAGACACATTCTTTCATTCTTACTTTAAAATAGAGTAAAGATTCATAAATCTTTTAAATTGTAATGTGATTTAATTGTAGGATGTCCTTCACGGATTTTATGAACACTTTCACAAATATAGACATCTGTCACTTCGTCAACACCAGTATTATCAGTATAAAGAAAACCTGGAGTGAGGCCATGTTTCATGGGGAGTGGACCGTCTCAGGCCGTAATGGAGGGAATGACTACAACTCCCCCACCTTCCTCAGTAATCCACAGGTACAGAGGGAAGAAGGGGGGGGGGTCCCCTAGTATTCATGTATAAAGTTTTTATGGTTATTATAGGAGAATTATAGTATTTGTATGCAAAAATAAACTACGTACGTGTTTATATCTACGTATGCCACATATAATATTTAATGAAATATGGAAAACTATACTTTTAAGAATTATAAGTCAACTGTAAAAGGGGAATGTCTGATTTAAACTTGAAACTTACCTGTGCTCATTCCTTGATTTTAGTCAAATCCTAGTTCAATGCCAACACAGCTGCACAAATTCTCTCCACCTTTACATTTTTCTAACAGGTGTATACTATATATATATATCTATATATATATATATATATATATATATATATATATATATATATATATATATATAGGGCTGCAGAGTACACTTGTTAACCCAAGGATTCCTTTTCACAAAGATAATCTACCAATGTTCATAGGAGCTGTCAATTATATAAATTAAGTAAAACTAAGTAATTGAATTAAGTTTCTTTCTTTTATTTTATAGTATGTTTTTGATATTGGTGGTGCCTCGGATCGTGTAATGGTGTCTCTGGAACAGCATGATATAAAACCAGGCCGACAGGAACTAGGCATCCAGCTCAACACCATAGGATTTCACATCATGAAGGTAAGAAACTTTGCACATCTGGATTACAGGAACTAGGTAGCCAGCTTTAATTTTCACATCATGAAGGAATGACATACTAACAGACCAGGTGGAAAGGAGCTTTTCATAAAAAAACCTAGGTTTTCACATCAGTGACATTATATAAGTTAAATGATCTAAAAACTACATTCATTTATTCGTAAACTTTCGATATGCATTTTTACATCTTTGATTTATTATGCTGGCTGATGAGAAATGCAGATACATGATGTATTATCGACAGTTAAGTCAATATCTACACATCACACCATATTTACTACTCTTATCAATACGATTTGTATTGCGTTATCTGTTAATTCCATTATATATATGTATAATTATGCATTAGTTAATTCTGGTTTACGATGAACTATCTCATTTAAGTGTTAATGTAGACAATGAAATGTATTTATATTAATTACAGGTGGAAGAAAACAGGAGATTCCGGGTACACATAGTGGGAGAACAAATATTTACCTCCGAGTATGCCAAGTCCAGAAGCGTTTTTGGGATCATGATTTTACAGAAAGGTCGCTATGTAGTAGTGCCTACCACGATTAGTTCGGATGAACTCGGACCATTCATGTTAAGGCTTTACACCGGAAGTTCTTCCGGGGCAAAGTGAGTTGTTAGTTCTATCATTGTTGTAAAATTATGAGATAATTTCTCATTTTCAAACCAAATGATTTTTTTCATATATAGTTGTCATTGATATATATGCAATGTTGAAATAATTGAATTAAAATATTTCAAAATATTCAGTGCTGAAGTGGGGAAGGGGGCTATTTTATAAAAACAATCGTTTCTATCTAAAACTGTAAGAAATTATATCAAACGATAGTGATAGTAGAAATGTTTCTTTTTTTTTTTTTAATTTCTACTATGATGTAGATCATAATTACATGTACATATTATACTGATAACATACATATACTAAAATGTGAATATATTTCTTTGTTTGAATGCTTACAGCTCCAGGTAGGTTATCATTCTCTTTTATGCATGTTGTAAAAGAAAAATCTCGAGCATTGTCGCATAGGTTGTTTTGCAAAATCCTGCTTTCATTTATTTCCCAGTAAAAGTATAACCCAATAGAAATAATACATATTAATCTGTGTTACCCCTGCTAAATGACAACGACAATGCTTGAGAAAAACAAGACATTCTGCTGTGTCGGAGTCGACACATTTTGCATGGATGGACTTCCTTTGGTCTTTCATCATGGGTATCATTTCTTTAAAGGACATGCCATTTTTTCCTGTTCTAAAAGGTTAAGCATGGCATGTTACCTTTTGCACTCTTTTCAGACAAAATAGATGTACATGTACTTAGTTAGCTCAAATCAATAAAATAGCATGGGGTTAAAGGATCACTAAATGAAAAACGAAATACACAGTTTCATGTTGTTGTTGACGAATAACGGCGAACTTGTACAATATTTATTCTAATGCCAGAAATATTAGGAAGGCCTTTTGCATGGAAATGCCGCTTGTCTCAACCAACTACATTTATATACATGTATGCATATAATATAGAAATGATTTTTCATATGGATAAATAAATAATAGTAAAGTTAGTTTCCAATCAAGGAATGGATAATTTTCATAACCATTGGCATACTTTAGTTTTTATTTTCTAGGAATAGTTTTGTTTTGAACTTAAGAGCAAATAGTATATTTTTTATCATCCATGCATATCGTTGCTAGTCGTTAACACAGACAGATGAGACTGTGCCATTCAGTGAACTGAATGGTCGGAAAGGTGACTGAATGGCGGAGAGTCTCATTCTGTGTCAGTTTCATCCTTTAATGCAGAAAAAATTAGGAAATTCGGGTGAACTAAAAATTCATCTATTGTCAGGGAATTGACGATGGAATGTCCATCTAATGGGTGTCCTTGTGCAGCAAACTACGTACTTATGTCCACAGTGACTATAGAAAGCTGCTCTGACCTCGAGATTCCACCAAAATCGAAAGTAAAAAGTAAGTGGTGTACATATCATTAGGTTTAATGTCATAAACCTTCTGCGAAGGGGGATAATTCTTAAAGTCTTCAATTATTGTTTTCCTTTTTTGTCTTCAATTTTCATTTTTATCTCCGACTCTTGTTAATAGAAACTTATCATAAAAAGATAGCATTACTCCTTTAGGATCACAGGACCTTCCTCCATTAACTCATCTAAGTCACATGTTTACAGGGACGTGTTTTAAAAACTGAAAAATGTTAAAATATAAGTTTATTTACTCTGATGATCAAGAAAATAAGGAGAGTAGTGAAGCATTTCTCTATCATGAAATTGCAGCATCAGTGCTTACATAGTATTGAATTTTTTCATTGGTCATGATCATAAAGATCCAAGATACAAGAGTTGATGTCATAAGTTGTCATATTTTTGATAAAAAGTTCTTTTATGGGTAGCCAAAGACACACATTTTAGAAATCACCACTTGATGAATGATAAGTTATTTCAAACTGTACAGCAATAAACAATATTAAGTTGATATTTATCTTCTTCTTCTAACTTAAAGCAATGGACCCATACGTGAAAATTATATGTGAAGGAGAAAAAGTCGAAAGTATAACAAGGAGTAATGACAAAAACCCGAAGTTTGGAACAAAAGCCACCTTTTACAGGAAGAAACCTGATGACCCAATCATTGTAGAGGTATCGTATTGAGTAAATCTGGTTTTCGAAAGAAATATACATGATACAAATTGTTTGGGCATTCAAAGATACTGTTTATGATTTCATTAAATTAAATATGGGTACATTTGAAAGACTATTATATACTTACACATTTTGTGAATCCTAAGTACTAAAGAGAATGCCTGAGTACAGCCATGCATGGTTTGTTCTATCCGTAATTCATTATAACCATTTCATATTAAATAAGTTTAATATTTTTTAAAGGTGTCCAAATATGAATATCCTTATGAACAGACTTTTGATTTATGAGTATTTGCTATAAATATGCTTAACTCTATTTCAAATTTTGATAGTCATATGAAAATAAGTACTTTTTTTTATTTCCAGGTGTGGAACTGCAACACCCTTGTGGATGATTACATCGCAGAAGGAAGGATAGAGGACAATGGGAACGAAGAAGGAATTACAAAGGAGCTACAACTTTTTGGAAGAAAGAAAGAAGCCACCATGGAAAAACCGGGGTCAATGAAAATTCACATATGTTCTAGTGCTGATCTTCAATATCTGTAACGAGATTTAACGAGATTTTGTTGGGAAAGTGATAAAAGTTATGGTTCTTGAACTATATGATAAGAGTTATCTTTCCTACATTGTTAAACTTCCACATCAGTGACTCCTTACAGCTGTTTTGGAAGTCTTTTGTAAGTAATGCCTGAGGAGCCTTTTTTTACGGAATCTGTTGAAACAGACATTTTTTATGAATATACTTTGTCTTTTTCCAATGCTTTAGCATTTAAGCTCTGTGATACTGTGTTTAATTTGACGAATTGATATGTCAATTCTGATGACTTACGAGTATGGAAACAGGAGAAGAGAGTTTCTGAAAGAAAGCTCAAGTAACTTTTTTTTTCAATCTCCTTGTTTTTAATATTGTTGGGGAAAAAATACACCATCAAGTTATTGTTTCTGTTGTGGAATCAAATATATTTTTAAGAATATTTTTTTTCTATTTTCCCTTGCTTCAAAACAGCAAATAACAGGATATCTGACGAATTGATCATTTAGTCCTGATTATGTATAGTAACAGGAGAATATATTTTCTGAAGGATTAATGTATTTTTTTTAGCTTGTTTATTTTTTTATATCGTTTGAAAAAAAGTTGTTGTTGATTTTGAAACCCCTAAAAAGAATACATTGTATATATTGTTCGTTTCCCAAAATTCACCTTATACAGCATTAGGGTCTGTGATAAATTATTTACATTTGACGAAATGATATAGCAGTTCCGATGAAGTATCACAACGGGAGAGTAGAATTTCTATTGGAAGACTGAACTTCATATTTTAATATAATAAGGATAAATTAAGATTGTTGTTATGGAGTTTCATTTTTTTTTTCTCATTTTACAAAGCGTGTCTGTGATATAAGAATTATACATCCAAGATTTACTAATGTCTGGAAACTTTTTGTATGTAGTTATTCGTTCCCGTCCAATTTTTCTATATGCCATTTCAGTCTGCAGATTTTCTTTCCTGAAGATTTTCGTGCCGCACTATAAAAGTCACCATTTTGAAAAAAATCTATGTGTTTCATAGGGTAATGTCATGTCTGATATTTACTGAAATATATTTTTTGGGTAATTTATGATATTCACAGTGAAAGAAAATCAATCAAGTTTACCTGGCTTCAGATACTTATTTTTTTAACTGTTGTTTCATGATGTTAAATCAGTATATGTCAGTATTTATTTTGTTTTTATTTATTGAGACTTTGGAAACTTCTTACTGTTTTACAATAAAGTAAAACTCCAAGCATAATTTTGTTTCTTGCACAAAAGGTTGTTTGCCGCATTATATTATATATGAACAATCGAAGGTTTAAATATTCTTCAATACAGTATATAGCTTTTCAAGGAATGCTTTGTCCCAACCCAACCTACCCACCCCACGTCCCTTCAATATAGACGTGTAATTGAGATATTATCGAAAAAACATTTTGTAACCCTATACAATGTGACCTTGGCCTTTGGCCCTTTTACGCCAGGATCTATCGCGATCATGTTTTATCGTGGACAGTAATGAACCATTTTATATCCTATACAAATTTGTGACCTTGACCTTTGACCTAGTGACCTAAGGAGAATTGATGTAAAATTTATTGCAAAAGCTTGAGAATTTTAAGAGAAATCACCTGGAAACGAGAGTGTTACAGACAGACAGAATGACGGATAGACAGATGGACGGATAGACAGACAAGGTAATATTCCCCGCTTTCAGCAAAGGCGGAGGGTAAAAAAGACGACAGCTGCTGTATATAATTTTTTTAATAGCACTGAATAAATAAAAATGTACATTATTTATTACAATTACAAGTTTCAATTAGTACTCTACCTTTTGAATGCATACAGAAACCACAAACACTGTTAAAATCCTTAATCTAACAACAGACTCAATATTTTCTTTTTAACACCAAGGTAATGTGATACCCAATGAATAAATGATAATTACCCCTACAATAAATTTAATGATCCTAAACATGCTAAATGAGAAGCATCATAGGGTACTTGTAGAATAGTCGTAGAAAGTCAACAGAGGAACAGGGGTATGTAATCAGATACACAAACACGACGCCTGAAAGAAGTGTCCACCGAAAATCTGATCCAGAAGCAAATGTATTTCATTTCAGTTAAGATACTTGTAATCGCAAAAGAAACGCATTCATCAAAGAATTTATGATATTTTCTCATTTAGCTTTAGAAAAGCATTTTTTTTCTTTGAATAAGAACTTGCCAGTGTACTTTTATGATAATTTTGGGTAAGATTAGTAACCGAGTTGTTAAAAATGATATAAAATCAAAACATAGATTCAATTGACTGTAAATAATATCAGTTAAAATTAGAAGAAAAATATCAAGAATAAACTTTCTTGTTCAACAGATTATTTGTGCCTTCCTGGAACTGTTTATCTTGTATAACGAGACTCTATCGCGAAATATATCAAAATACGCAATAATCTTCTATAGATACTTTCTTCTAGGGAAAAGGCCAATTTCAGAAAATTCTCAAAGTATGATTTATACTGCTACCTTGTGGGAAAGGTTCAAAGGTCAAAGGTGAAGATAACAAACAGTCATATATCTCATTAATCCAGTAAACAAAACGAACCCTGAACAGGACAAAAACAAGGGGAAATACACGAAATGAGTAATATCTTTTTTTGTTTAATCAAGAATATCATAGACAGATGTAGGAAGATAATAACTTTATTTTAATATATTTCAACCATCCTTTATAGGATAACAAAACTGCAAACCTCTTGTACATTCTTTATGTAAAAAAAAAATATAATTCTGGTAAGTTCGGACCTTCGGATGTATGAACTGCAGGAAATTTACTTTCTCCTAATAAAAATTAAATACCCTAATTGTATTTCATTTTACTAAGAATGGGAAAAAATTATATATTTTACACAAGATACATCCTTTATTGATTTATGACCCTTAAAATGAAAATACACTGTACTGGACACCCCTTTCCCAAAGATGGTTTGTCTGAGTGTTCTAGTGGTTCTGGAGATGAGGGTTAGAGTCTAAAAAAAAAGTTTAGACTAGACATTATGATTATAAACCGGGCAAATAAACTTCAGAATTTCAAATGACTTCCTCAGTCAAGTGTCTAGCTAATCGAAATGCAGTTAATCAGAAAATACTCATACACACCATCGTCACACAGAGGAATTTTTAGATTTCTTTTAAAGTTGAATACATGTATGTTACAGAATTATCCTTAAAAACATATAGAAGAAGCTTTAGAAGTTTTCTTTTCGGAATTTGAAACCAAACGTCATGCACTTTTTCTTAACCATTCCTCCCAGTTGCGGAGGCCCACAGAAAAAGACCTTGACATTCCCCTTCCTCTCTTGTGAAATCTTCCCAAATACCTGAAAGAAAAAGAAAAAAATAACAAAAATGATAGTTTGTGTATCTGTCATGATTTTTAATACATAATTTGTTGTCAAAAATACTGTTATGTTACATATCAAAAGTACTATGCATTAACAGAGAGACAGAAGAATTATTCAAGAGGGTCTATTGTCAAGTCAGTCAAGGTTATTATTACATACGTCAATAATAAGAGGAGTTTGTGTATAAAAGTAAATATAATCTTTGGCTTTTTTAAAATGACCACATATCCCTATGTATTCTAGAGAGATTCTAAAACATTATGCATCATAATAATAACCATGTGCTTCAGGTTTTAAACACTCTGACTGTTTCACAAAGAAACCTTGCGTATGAAAGAACTATGAAATAGCCATGACCTCATTCCAGTTTGGGCGTCCAGCCTGTGTTCGTGTCGATAATCCTGTGATCAGGTCTTTCTTGTCTCTCCTATGTATTATACTTAGGGCCATCTGAAGCCCCGCCCCTCTGATATCACTCTTTTTCTTGGCAGCTGTCAAATAGAGCTGAATATCAATCACTTTCTCCATTTCTTTGCCCTTCTCGAAAGCCACGTCGATTTGCTCTTTTTCAATTTTATTAAGGAGCCCTACAAACCACTCAAAACTTTTCTGATCCCGATTTATCCAGATGAAATTCACCTATTGAGAATAAAAGGTAAGGAATGATCCTTAAGAACCATAGAAGAACCTTTAGTGATATTACTAATCAACAGAAAAACAATGAGCTATTGCAAATTGAATGTACCAAATTACTTTATATAATATTGATAATTATGGCTGCAAGTCTATCAGGTCAGGATACAAGGGGCAAGTCTGCAAGTTGTGAATAGATAAATAATTCAAAAGACAGTGCAAGTCTTTTTGTTTAGCTTTAGCAGATAAATTTTTCAACATACATGTAGTATGAGTTGTAACCAATGGGACTGTCAAAAACTACTAAATACTTATTATTCAAAATTTCATAATACAAAGGAAGAACAGCAATTTAATCTAAACAATCAAGCCAAGAACACTATAAAAGAAGAAATAACATACACAATTTCTTTCTGAATATTGGCAATTTATCCTTAACCACAGACATATATTTGTTATAAAGCTCTTAAGATTACTTTTGACAAAATAATTTAATATAGAAACCTTCTTCAGGTTCATTGCAGATTCAGGAATTACACCATAGAAGCTGTAGTGACATTTTGGACAGGTTCGCTTGGATTCTTTGTATCGGTACATAATGCTCTGAAGAATAGAAGCCATTGGAGTCACTCCAATACCGGCCCCAATCAACACGGCATGTTCTGTCTCAAAGATCTCCCTTGTTGCTGTGCCATATGGACCGTCAATGTAACACTAAATTTGGGGGAAAAAATGAAAGACTGCATCAATCTTCTATGTACTAGTATTTTTAAAACGAAATTTTATGCATATGAGAAATTCAATATATTTTCAAATTTCATTTGCAATAAATAGGTAGTAATGAGTAACAGGTTTTCGTTTTCAATTAACTTGTTATTTTTCATTTTATATTTTAGTATTCTGTTAGACTTCAAATAACATCAATTTATTCGTAATTCACATGGCAATATTCTTTTGGACATGTTAATATCCTAAAATTTTAAATTTTGTGCGCGTGAGTAAAATTCAACTCCTCATACTTTAACTTTATATCTGGATTCGTCGTAATTTATGGTATATAAAATCATTAATTAGTTAATAATTAAACTGAAATAAGAATTTTTTGATTAATTCAAAATCCTTGTCGCACATATATAATGAAAACTGCCCTATCCGACACCTGCGCAATCCGTCCCACTGTGAATTCCCACCTTTATTTTATGTCCCATTTTATACAATTTCAAAGTTCTTTACACCGTGTTATCCAGCACCTTGTCTATCTGTCTGCCATTGCATGTTGGATTAGACATGTTTCACTGTACTATCAATTTAATGTTTTGAATTTTGTCAACTTTCGTTCAGACAATACATGAAAGTAAAATTTAAAAAAAAAGTATCATCTTACCCTAACATGAACCTTTTTCATAACCTGTGCCATTCTTTTCTCTGCTTTCAGCTCCTCCTAAAACAAACACGTATTCCTTTATCCATTGTTTAAATTCAGATGCAAAGAACATAAGATTCAACGGGTCAGATTTGTCAAGGATATAAACTTATATTACATACTCCTTTTAAATAAAATAGTTTATCTAAGAAAGCTTTGAATTCAATTCACACGTGTGTTTACGAGATCGTGACGTTACCTTGTCTTTCGGTCTGTATTGTGATTGTCGTTTATTTGGCCACCAGGAAGCTGGAAGAGAAAAGATGTATTAGTATTAGGAATAAAGTGAGTCACTTGGGTCATAAGTTACATCCTATGATTTTCTTCATATAGGCTGCGTTTCTTAAAGACATCCCGTGGGTTATACGCTCATGAAAATTATTCTGACCTCAACTACTTTTAAAAGTGCATGATTATAAAATACGTCTACATGTAAATCAGAATAGGATGCCTAGGTATTAATTAATAACAGTTGTTCGATTTTATTAAAATATTCGAAAACATACTTTCTTTCTTTCTTTCTTTCTTTCTTTTTTTTTTTTTTTTTTTTTTTTTTTATTTGTTGACATTGTAAATTTGTTATCCCATTATTTTCCTTTTACAAGCTCTGGGAGCGAAAATATAAAATAATACTATTTATAGATATTTATTGCAGTGTACTTATTCCCATGTGTAATAAATAGCTTTTTTGTTTGTTGAACGAAGACATGATTGCATTTACTAATGAATTTTCAAATATGTAACTATATGAACGTAGAAAACTGATAGAGTGATGTTCTAGGGCTACATCTTTAGATACATGATTATGTTCAATGTATGTAGCCATATATAAGAAAAATCATCATTTATTTCCTTGTGTTGAACTATATCATTTTTCTTTTTTGTAATTATTTAGATTTTGGAAAATCTCTTAACACTATTTTTGATGAAATTTGATCATATATTTTCAAGAAAGCTTTTGGATAGGATCATCAGTTAAATTGACCGAAAGGTCTGAAGCTAAAATGTTTACACATGTATGGTCAGCCGCAAATGGGAACAAAAGATATAAGTGGGTGAAAAATTGCTATGCCATGGAAATCATTTAAAAAAGAGGAGTAAATTAGATATTCAATAGTCAAGGGTGGAATTGAATACTTTAAAGAAAATATAAAATACCTAACATTAGAAAAATATAGTATATGTCACTTCTGAGGATAATGTTTTCTGTGTCTTAAATAATCATAGTGTTAAATAATGTTAAATAATGTTAAGGTTTAAAAAACATGTTTCGCTTTTTAAGATATCCATTATTTAGCAGTTATAGTTGCCTCTAGCCTGGCTAACTGCTAGTGTCCTCCGCTTCATGACATTTGGATCAGGCTTTTCTTTAATTGGATCCAATGCAGAGAAATATTCGTACAGTTGTTTTGTCCAGTGGCCTAACGAACGAACGTGAATCCAGATGTGACCTAAAAGATGTAAAACAAACATTATGTTCGTTACACTTAAACGATTTAATTCTAGTATGTAATATTACGGATATTGCTACTAATAAAATACCATCTTCAATTGATTTTAGAATGCCATGCACTAAAGATGGTTTGATTTAGCCGATGTGTGAACAAAGTTCCTTTGTGTAAATAAAAAAACACTATGGGAAAGAAGAAATAAAATTTCTAAAAAAAAAAAAAAAAAAGAAAGATAACCCTATCATAGATGGACAACTTTAATGGATTTTGAAACTAATTTGCATTTAAATACTATGATAGCACATGAACGTTGATATCTAGGCTAGTGATGAAGAATACTTGTCAAACTACGTTTTCTTTATCAGGAAGTATACTTTTTATTACACGAAGACATTTCAGCAACTCTTTGAAATTCAATCATTATGAGTTTCAAAGACCTTCCTTTGTAAATAATTTTATATAAATTTATACTATCTTATAAAAACATATATACAATGATATTTTAAAAACCAATACTACCTTTCATTTCAGGAGCACTACTAATGGTAAAGGGATGCCATTCAAACTGCGCAATAGCCGGGATTTGTAGAAAAATGTAGTCCCCAGGCTCAAAACGGAAGTTGTCAGGACGAGAAATAACCAAATGACAAACCTTAACAATTATCATTATACATGTAATAAGTACTCAAATAAAAAAAAATTAATTGAAGTCATAACCATGGAACAAACTCAGAATTCTCATTTCTAAGGAATAAGCATATTTGATTCAATTTGAAATATATATGTTACTCAGTTCAAGAAGAACAGATTTTTTTTTGGGGGGGGGGGGGGTTAATCAAGAGTAATCTTGGCTAACCCATGTAAGGAAATGGTTACAATATAAAAAATAACTAAAATCAAGAATTTAAAATTTAAAATTAATATATCTCTTAAATCCGACCAAGAAAAATATAAAGATATAATTTTGAAATTAAAATACCCCAGATGGCAAAAGACAAACTTCTGTGATAAATGTCCGTCCATATCGAGCTCTCTTGAAAAGTTTGGAGCCAATGATCTTCTCGATAATAAATAAGACCCCGGGCATAATGAAGTAGTACCAGAATGTCGGAGAATGAATAATTAGGAGGGTCCAGAACGGAATATACAACATGTGCGTCCAATAGAAAACCTATGTAAAGTGAAAGTAGCAATATATTTTTTTTGAAAACGGACACTGCCGTTGTTGATTATGAAAATCAATATTATCAAAATGAAACAGTAAAACTGTAAACAGAGAATAGAGGAGAGGACAGTTACACAAAAGTACAATAATAATAATACTTTAATACAATTTTTTCTATATATGATTTACAAATCAAGATGAAAGTTGTTTAAATATCTAATTCCGCGTGTCTTTGTACCTCAAAATGGCCACCTTTCCTCACAAACGGAAGAGAGCAAATGATCATAACAGTCAAAACTACAATGAGCGCCCATCCCGTGATATAGGCTGTTCCTGGTATCAAGCCCATAGGTATCTTCGTTGTAAACAATATTGTCACAATGGTATTATTATTCGAGGGCATTTGAGATTTGACAACTGGAAATAAAGATTCAAAATGTGTATAATTAAATTACATGTATTTTTAGTTGCATTAACTGAATTATTTCATTAAATGTAAGAAAAAATAGAATTAATTTAATCAATATTTTTGGTGAATTACATTTCATTATACACAAATGTAATGATTTTTTTTTCAAAATTTCAGGGCCCTTTATACCTGTGCCAATATTCCACGCAATGTTAAAAATGACGAAAAGAATGTTATGGTAAATTACAATGAATAGTACCTAATTTGTATCATAAAAAAGGCAAATCTAGTAGTGTTAATCAAAACGTAATAAACGGTCTATGTATAAATATTCAATAATTTCAGTAGAGAATTTTTTTGAAAGGTAACAATTGCGATTTACATACTAAAACTAACTTACTTGCGGTCCCTATTGCTCCAGCAGTATGGAATAAGGCGCATGCGCCTATAACAGCTCCAACCATTTTGTGAAAAGAAATGTGCTGATCCAGAGGAAGTATTGCAGCCAGGGGCGTGGATCTTATCAGTGTGTGGCATTTCCGAAGAACCAGAATTAGGACCAGCATGCAATTGAAGTTTAGAAGCATTCCAAAGATACCAGCGGCTACAAAAATCATGTTTCCAAAGTTAACTACAGTGAAAACTGTCTAACTGGTCATTCACTGGTACAAAACTTTTGTGTCAGAGTGTTGGACTGCACAGTGTACACTACAAGGCAGTACCGGTAGTTAGTTGGAATTAAAATAAAGGTCGGAATTCACATCGAAACGGGTATATCATATTTTCAGTTATGGACTAGGTATATGTCCAAGGCCCTAAAACTTCGCTGCATGCACACTTTTATAAATGAAGCAAACTGTCATTGTTTTATTGTGTCCTAATTCTCTATGCTGTCTCCATTGACGATTATAATACTTACATATACATACATGTATTACTTTAAACTACAGCAATTGTATACATACGTATTAATTATTTAATGTCGTTTATTCTAGGGAGGATACAATAATTTATTCAAAAGTTAAGATTCAGAATAGTAACGAGCAAATCTTTACATTAATGCCATTACAATGTTAATCTAAGGATTACGAACAGCCCTCTTGGTTACAAAAAATACTATAGCTAAGAATATTAAACCATAAACCATTGTAAATACTTTGATTCTTTAACTTAGTATGAAACTTTTCACTAAACTTTTTTTGAGATTTTGAAATTTGAAATATCTTAAATTCGATAACAATTCTATAAATTTGGAAATACATGTAATATGAGATATATAAACAATTGTTATTGATATTTTAAAGGCTAGCTCAAGAATCACACATATAAAAAATCAAAGAGTAATAGCAGGGACTATAGATCCCGAAAACATCAGAAATGGAATCAGATGCCATGGAGGATGACTAAATATTTTCCAAATAACGTATGTGGTTTCACATGCAGTTTATCAAGAAATCCATGACCTTTGACAGTCACAGATATCTGCAAGGAAGAACTTTAATTTTAAAACCTCGAAACTGTTGAAATTATTTTTTAAAAAGTGAATATGCCCAAATAACACCTGTGCAACCCATTTCACTGTGAATAATTCATTTTCTTCCCATGCTAATCTTTTTCATGTTCATTACACTGTGCAATATAACACCTGGGGTTTTTTTACATAAAAAATTCTGTTTAAGTTTATGGCATATTTGACATATTTCACGTATTAGAAATCCAGGAAGTTAATTCATACAGACCCATTCTGAAGATAATGAGGAATGCATCACTAGATGCCGATTCCAGAACCTCTAATACGGTATAGATCGTAATTCCAACATTTATCAGGATATAAATGATCACAAACATTATCTTCCGCAAATTGTTTCGGAAGTACTTCCACGTGAACTTATGTCTCCAGTCTTTTTCCTTTTTCTTTGATGGCGCTGCCAACCCGAACCATTGTGTTGCACTATAGAATTATTAGAAAGCATGGTTCACTTTCAAATTTATTTTATGCTTAATTGGTGAATATAGAAGTTCTAATTCGAGAAGTACAACTTTTTTATTCATAAAAATATGATAACAGCTGAATATAATAAATGTTAAAGGTGTAAATGGTACATGAATAGTACATACACGTATGCCAAAACATACACATTTATCGTCAAAAACAAACCTCAAAGTCAAAGTTTCTATCATGTTCGGATGTTTTTCTATAGCTTTTCTCAAATCGTCGAATGTGATGCTGTCACTTCCGGTTTTGTCTGCGGCTTCAAACATGACGTCTGTCAGTTCATTCAAATGTTCCTCCCCAAAATAGAGAGAGCTCTCCTCCATACACGTCGTTAGAATCGTCCTCAGCTCATCGCGCTCGATTTCTCCAGATCCTAGGGATACAAAGTGAAATGTGAGAATTTCCCGCCATTAGGTTAAGGAATTTATATAGTTAGTTATACTGCTCTGGTGTTACGCAAATCCCTTAATCATTAATTCTGTAATGTAACATTAGACGTTTAAAGTTAATATTATTCATACAAACACGAAGTTGAATTAGATTTTATTGAACCAGAATTTAAGTTTTTTCAGAAAATAATTTTACGTTTTAACTTGAGTTTCTTTCTGGTGGGTGATCTGAAATTTAAAGTCTAATTGTACATTATGTATCTTTTTTTTTCAAAGAATAAAAACGGTGATTACTTTTGTCAATGGAGTATAATTGTGTGCTAATTAATTTTATAACATACTGTAAAATATAAGTTTCTTACAATTTTACACATATAAATAAATATATATATATATTTCATAAATTTGAACAACATAAGTCAACAGTTTAACCACATTTTTTCTGGACACGTCATTGATAGTATTCCTTCCTCTTTTCCATCTAACAGAAAACTTTCTGTTAGATTACACACATCAGCTTAACCAAAATTAAGTCTTCATTCATTGAGACTCATTGTCAATTTAGACATTGTGAATTTGTGAAGGACAATGAAAACTTCAAAATAATACGAAATGAGAAAGAAAATTGAAATAGAGAGACCTCTACAATAACTTTTATTATGTTTGATAAAAAAAAAAGAGACGCTACACTGCTAGGCAAAGTTTGAAGCTTTTTTAACCCTGCGCCTCCACACCCACCCCCTGCACTCAGACAAAATACAAAGAAATCGCTGATACAACAGGAATAAAACTGTGACAAATTTTATCACTTCACAGAAGCTTTATTGTTTTGAAGGAAGAATAAGCTAACGCATTTCGTCAGGAAGTTCATTAACCTATTTCTTTATACGTTCTATTTCGTCCTTTCAAATCAAGTGCCCATTAGACATTGTGTTTGTCTATTAATTGAAGTGCACATGTACCTATCATTTTTAACTACTATTTACTGAACAATATTTGGACAATTGATCCTTCAAGGAACTAATAGATTAAAAAAAAATTATACCATTTCTATGGAGTGTTTTATATTTGCATTAATAATAATTTTAAATAAAGGGGGGAAAGCTATGGGAAAAGTTTGAAAAGTTAGAAATCCTCAAATAAAAGCTCGAAAAGTCGCGAGTAAAGTTGGAAAAAGCCGATATTAAAGTTGAATTACCAACTTAAAACAAATATACAGCATAGCACTAAATACACTTCTGTATCCTTCTGTAATATATCAGACAATTTAGAATAGGCACATCACATCTGTTTCAGTGCGATAGACATTTCTACGGTTTTAAATGCCAACGAAAAAAAGCTAAGATAAGATCATACTGATCGATCTCAAAATTCTTCGAAAGACGTATTTGTGAACCATGCGGGCCCTGAAAGTGGTGGGTGGGATCAGGCACCTAGGAGAAGTAAGCATCCTTCATCGACCAGCCACACCGTCCTTGAGCAAATTCGTTCACCGTTTAATAATTCAGAATTTAAATTGCATACCAACAAACTTGAAATCTTGCTTATCTTGTTGTTGTTATTTAAAAAGTAATAATGATACCAAAAAATATTTAATTGTTTTCAATGCTTTCTTGTAAAGACAGACATTGAAAATGCTCAACTGTTGTAACAAAAATAAAAGATGAAAGAAAAGAAGTGAAGATGAAAAATTTTGGCCTTAACTTAAGGACTAAAAGAAGGATTGAATGGGAGTTCCTACCATCAATATCATAGACATCGAAGACAAATTTGAGTTTCTGGAGTGGTGATCCTTTGGTCAGTGTCCGGAGTCCGTCCATCAGTACGCTGATTTCTATACTGCCCTTCTTATCCGTGTCAAACAAACTGAAAAACCGGTCACCGAAGAAAGACTGAAAATAAAGTTACTTCATGTAGATACCATGCATTAAAATCATTTGATTATTGGGTTCAAAGACTAAACAATCAGTAAAAGAAAATCAAAACCAAAAACAATTAAAGAAAAGAAATAGTATACAGTAGTAAAAAGCAAAACAATTAATAATAATGATAATACAGAAAATAAGCAAACATGAAATAAATACCAAATATGTTCTAAATATAAGACATAAAATCATCGATATTACATTAAAAAATCATTCAAATATGATTTTATCATTTAGATTTGAAATATTTTGCATCATTAAAAAAAGTTTGATATGTCAGAAGGAAAACAGGATAAGTTCGTTGTAAGCATTCTGAAATTGAAGCACACTGTGTAAACAAATACTAACCTCTCTGACTCCAAGGACATCTTGGAAATCATCAAATTGTATTCTGCCATGTTCGTCGACTTTCTTCGTAAACCTTTCTTCAACACACTCTAACCACTTTGTATCATCCTGTGTACACCTGAAGAACATATGCAGTTCTTTAACAAATATATGATACATATCCGTTACTTTTCCATTTTTAATCGATATTCTTAATATTCCTCTAAAATTGTGATACACAATTGTTTGTTAACTTCACGTGTGTTTATATTCATTTACTTGGATTGAAAAAAAAACCTAATAAAATGTGGGAAATGTGTGAAGGGGTGGTAATGGGAAAGTATGCCTTTGGTTTGAGTTAGTATATAAAAAAAACATTCATGTATCGAAAATTTCATTTTTGTAGATAGAATATGGAATGTTCTGATGGAGACCTTCAGATCATGAAGGACAAATGCAAATTGTAAAGGATTAAGGTTTATCGTCCCTTTTTAAACTGATTAATGTCCATTTTTTTTTACTCATTAACTTTTTTAAATGTTAGATTTTCCAAAAGGAATTTAGTTTAACAATCGAAATGCATCAAAGCTTGAATTTGACGGAAATTTACTTTCTCATTGGACAGTTGTTTCTTCTAGCTGGAGTTATCTGTCGATGAAATTTAATATTATAAAACACAGCCATTCTTTTTATCATTCAAGCTAAGATTGACAATTAAAAGTAAAGTGAACTTACGACACGTTAGGTTTCCCTTCTCCCCCTCCTGACGTGGCAGCCACTGCATCTAATTCTACTCCTCCTTGATTATCATTGATAATTATCTTTATGTCTTGGGATTCTTCATGTTTATCTTGGCTCTTCTTCACTAGTTGTTCTTTATCCGCCATAAGTGGTGAGCGTGCTCCCCCAAAACAGGTAGTGGATACAAACCTTAAAATCTTGGCAAGACATAGAAAAGTTGATAATTAGTGTGAGTTGTAACATTGTGCTTCACAAAAAGGAAATGATACATAAAAAAGACATTGTTTAGGATCAGTAGCATAATGATCATTATAAACAAGACTCCCTTTTTCGATCTACGGTAGTGTCCGGTTCGTTGACCTTAGGATCCGGCACGATTTCTGGTCGGATTCTTGAATCACTTTCATGTCCTGACAAATTTTTAACATACACACATGTATATGTATTTCTTCTTTGTTTAAGTATTAAACATAACATTCATATGGTTCTCCATTTAATTTAACACACCGGAAGTGTATTTCTTCACTGGAGAATAAAAACATGTATATATGCACAAACGCCCCATAAATCAACTAAGAACGGATAGTCAGAAAAATCTAAATGAAAAGAAAAACCGCGACAAGATTGATAGCGAGTATAGAGAATAGATCTCAATGTAATTGAGTTGAAATTTGTCTTAATGTATTTTTTTACACTCTGAATATCAAACCCTACTTCACTCACTTAAAGGATTTTTTTAATGATTCCCCCCCCCCCCTAATTTTTCACATTCGTTTGATTTGGAATAAGTAGTTTGTTACATACCTCATCACAAATTAGTTTTTTCCTTAGGATGGAGACAGTAGGTCTCGTCAAACGGAAGGAGACATGTATGTTTGCAAAAAAATGTTATAAGGTCCCAGCTTCTCTGGAATTCCAATACAATTTTGTTTTTAAATGTAATCATCTTCCTGTTTCAACCGTAATCTTCTACAATTTATACCCCATAGCAAGAAAGGCAATACCCCTATAAATATATCAATCATATGATATATATACATGTTTATGATATATAGGGAGATAACGAACAGTATTCAAGCTCAAAAGTCCATTAAACAATACAAAATAGGAGCAGAGCAAACACGAACCTCCAAAACATCAGAGGTGGGATCAGGTGCCATGGAGGAGTTAGCATCCCCCGTGTGCTCCTTGTCATGATCGGGAAATAACGGAAAAATCCGTCGACAATTCAGTGTGTAAATAATGGCCTAACAATTAGTATGAAAAAACGTCAGTCAGCATTTGACTCAATGATAAATTGTATTTGCTGACAAGGTCATTGTATCGACCATAGAACTTACGAAATGATGACTTTAAACGAGACTGCTGATATTCTTGTTTCATCAACTTGTTTGTCAATAATTTACCACGTTTTAGAAATTGTACATACGTAGAGCATGCTCTTGCGTATTGAATCAACTGAGAGATATAAACCTCTTATGCAGGTGATGAAGGCATATTGCTGCATATGTAAGGGAAGTTGACGATTGAAAAGTTAAAGTCATCAAGTTTATCAAAAAGCTTGGTTGTTAGTTTACCCTTAACGTCTTTTTCAAGTAATATATCCAAATATGAAACAGATGTGTCAGACTCTGTGGTATCTTTTATCTCAAGCTCACTGGGATATATCGTATATACATAAGAATGGAAATAACCGTTGTTAGGCTAATTGACAATATGTCGTCAATATATCTAAATGTCGAGTTGAAGGCCACAGCAAGTGTTTTCTTCGTTTCACGTATAAGATTTTGGACAAATTCTGCTTCATATGAATACAAAAATAGGTCTGCTAAGAACGGGGCGGAATTGGTACCCTTGGGAATTCCAATAGATTGTTGGAAGACCTGGTCTCCAAAAACCACATACTAGATATTTTCAATCAGAAACTCAAGCATCTTTTTCATGTCAACTTCAGAGTACTTGTATGTACAATCAGAATGTTTTTTTTTAACAAAATAATTTTGCAAATGACCAATGACAAGGTAAGTAAATTTACGAAATCGATTTTTATTAAAAAAGCAGCTGTCAATGATATCAAAAAGCCTGGACTTTAATTTATCGTGGGGAATGGATGTGTATAAAGTTGAAAAGTGTTAAGTTTTTAAGCTGTTGATTTTGGTAAAATCTTGCGATTTCAAATTTAATGTAGCAGTGTGTTTTATCTGTATATAATGTGTAACATATATTTTCGAATAAATATCATTGATATTAATCAAATTAAATAAGATTTTATGATTTAATACAAATCCCAGATCCACCTAGCTATATGTTCTGTTTAGAGTTATTTAGTTAGCACATAAAACCTAACGCATAACTTAGTGCATGTGAAAAATATTGACATCAAAATATATTTTCTTCTCTTTTTTATATATAATGATAATATTAAATTGTAACCCGTTTCCTGCTTTCAAAATCCTACCTCATCCCAGGTGTTGAATACCTGTGATGTTAAAAAGAACTTGCTGATTTAAAGCTTTAACACCTGCCGCATGTTTAGTGAATGCATGAGTTACTTTAACAGGGATAATATTTTTACTGCATTTCAACAGCTTTATAAATAAGGTAAAGACTGTAGGGTGAAGGTTATTAATGGTGTTTTTGGAAAATAGGGAAGAATATGATAAACTAACAGGAAGAGAAATCCCTGTAATTTTATGTACTGTTATACATTAACCAGGTTATGACAACATGAAAGGTAAGTTCTTGTTTTCATTGATTTATTGTTCGAAAGGTTTTATTTTTCTTAATATTTGAATTCACCAGTATGAATATATGTAATGACTCGAGGGATTCAGTAATGGATTGTACGCAATTACCATGAACAGTACAGCCCATTGTTTATTATATGCCCGCCAAAACCTAACTGACGGACAGACATTTTGAAGGGGTTTTGTTAAACCAATTCTTGTTAAAGCAAGGGGCTTGGGGGTATGGTTACCCCCCTCTCCATTTTTTTTTTCTTTTTAAATGTGGGATACACATACATTTTTCCTATTCATGTATTCTAATATGCATTCCATTTTATCAATATTTTGTCTCAATGACCTGTTTTAATTTTTTTTTTCCGACTGATCAATAAATTAAGGGATTTAGGTTTTCTCGTCATCTGCCTCACCTTGCTTAAACTTCGCGTGATTGTATATATCTAAAGTAAGGATACAACATAAAATATACATACATCAATAAATTTATTACGAATAATTCTTTTCGTTCATCCTTCAGTTTAACTTCTAAGTGCCATCGATTTGTAAATATTTCAATTAAATCACTCAAATGTAGGATTTGTGGCAGCTGGCTATTAACTGATACTACACATAATTATAACGCCCTAATATACCGAGAGAGAACAAAAGAGAAGAAGAAAAGATGGCATCGAAGAACGTCAAGGAGCAGCGAGTATCAATACAATTTTGTGTTGCACTCTTGAAATCTCCAGAATAAACTATAAAAATGATGAAGGAAACAGAGGATACGTTTAAAGTGAGCATTTGAGTGTAAGGGGACGACCATTTGGTTCTGAGGGGGAAGGGGATGGCAGTTTTGGAAATTTAATGTAAATAATTTGGCCTTGAAATTATTGAAAATAAATACTCTGACCTCAACTGGCAAGAAAATAATCAATCTGACCTTAACTAGCACTGACCTTAACTAGCACTGACCACCACCCAATCCCCATGAAGTAGACTTTCGGTGTTTGGACATTTTACCTTCTTTTATTTTTCTTGTCAAACATTCCCTGTTAATAATCTGTCCTTGACTGGAATAAAAAAATAATCTAACCCGAACAATTTTGCCAGGTGTCCCCTTTCAGAATCAACTAGCTGTCCCTTAAATATCACAAGCGGTTTTTTGGTAGTAGGTACTTTGTATTAGACGATATACCATCTGTAAGGAAATGGATTATCAGAAAAAATCAGATTACAAGTTTATATCCTCTTGGAAAGAGAGATTGGCGCTTAACTGTTGCGGATCTGTTGATATCAGAGATACACAGTAAAATAAAAAAAGGAAAATATTTACAAAGGAACCTTTGCTGCAGAATTTTTTTTTTATCAAACTAAATGTCAAATGATATAGAAAGTTTTTTTTTCTTCTTTTTCTTATTTTTTTTTCTTTGATTTTAAGTGGGCATAACTTCAGACTGTATGTGAAATGTATAGGGTAGAGTGAAAGGAGAATAGTTTTGGGTAACCCATTATGTTGTTTTTGAGGTTACAATGCTGTTAAGTATTTTCCGTGGTAAAAAAAATGTTTTTTTTTAGAATCAAGAGGCATGGTTCCAAAATGCTATCAAAATATGATACTATGCTGATCATGAATTTCTTGATTTTAACTAAGATTGAAAATGAACTTTTCGAACAACCTTACATACTGGAATACACGAAGAGGGAAAAAAGTGTGTCGATCCAAGATTTAAAAAGGGGAAAAACGGAAAGGAGGGCCCAAACCCCGAGATCCTGCGTTTTAAAAATATAATAAGTTGACTAGCTTCCATTAAAATCAATCCTGACATGCTGAATCCACATGAGAGAGAGAGAGGGAGAGGGGGCAGGGGATAAAAGATCCAAAATAGGGTTGCAGTAAATTAGGGGAATTCCCTAGCTAAACGTACACGTAGACATACAAGGTCAACCTCTCTATTCTGTAGCAATTCTGGGTAAGTTTTTAAGGCGGCGTCCATAATTAAATTATATTTGGTATGCTTGGTATATTCTTTTGATAAACATGCAAAAAAAATAAATCTTGAGGAAATCAAAATGTTCTAAAATACTTACAAAGCTTAACAAAAAAAACCATACGGATTTTTTTGTGAATGCGCCGAAATGTTTCACTCGTTTACACAAGGAAATTTGCTCCGAAATGATGTTCGGCTTTTTACAAAAAAATACAGGACAGGCCGATTATTTTCATTGGACAAAGGTGTCTGAATAGAAGTGTCATACCATCATTCCATTGTTTGAATGTTTTCGGATAGAATTTATGAGAATGAGCAAATTTCATATACTAAGCAGCCACAAGTTTGCAACATGTGTCGCTACCGAATCAAAATTTAACAAAACATTTACAGTTTGTTAATATAGTTTACAATTATCTGCCCAATGCTTTTCAATTAAAAGAAATATTAACATGATTAATTTGGGATATCTTCAAAATAACTCCATGTATGATTATTAAGTATTTTTCGATTGTTTATTTTACGCTGCACTACTAACAATTTTTCGACATTTATGATTGAACTAAACAGTACCATAATTGTTATTTTTTAAAATATTGTTTTGGGGGGAAATCAGGATAAATGTGATGTAATGTTATGTAACTAGGTGACAAAATATTTGATGTTTGCTGATTTCCCCCTTTGTTTGTGAATCCAATATTGTATTTATAATAAATGAGATATTTCATTCTCAGACAATTGTCCTTTCCTAAATGTGCATTTAAGCAAAAACAAGCTTCAGTGAGCTGTTTGTAAGGAAAGAAGTATTAGACATAAGACATTTACTGTTTGTGAATATAGTTCACAGTTATCTAACCACAGCATTATCAATTAAAAAAAGAAATATTAACATGATTGGGATGAATTCAAAATAACTCCATCAATAAGTATTATAATCTATTTTACGAGTTACGCTGCATTACTAAAGAAATGAAGCTTCTATTTTTTTTCTAACAGATAAGGATGTCTTTATCAAAATACTCATCAACGGCCGAAACAACTAACCTTGCTAGACTTGCACGACTTATCTTGGGGCCCTGTACAGATGTTCTTCGTGAAGTTCTAAAAAAAGAAATTTTACCATTAGATCTGTCAAAAGAATTTAAGAAGTGGATTAATGACCCTGCAAACACAAAACAACGCAGTCCTTTCAATAACCAACGAACGGATCTTATCTTTCCTTTGCCAACAAAACATTATGGCGGCAATTACTCCGATTTTGATATTGGCTTGTTATATCTACTCCTCCGTAACATATCTAAAATACCTCCACACACAAATGGATGGGGAAAGGATCCAGATCCTGGGGACAGAAGTGAGTCAGCAAATATTGAAAGAGTACGTCTGATACGAAACAAATATTATGGACACATCAATGAATTTTCGATCTCTGATTCGGATTTTCGACAGGAATGGCGAAACATTCATGAAATTGTGAAGGAATTAGAACTAACATTAGGGACGGCTACTTTCTACGAGGATGCTGTGAAAGACATTAAGAAATGTCCCATGGATCCACAAAAAGAGTTGGAATATATCAATAAACTTGCTGCTATTGATGAATTATCTGATAAGGTTGAAAGTCTTTCAGGTAGGATTTTTTATTATATAATGACCAAAAAAAAATCATGAACAGGTATTCGAGCCATTTCTGTTCTACTCACTATTGAACACAGTCTAAAATTCAAATGAATCTAGCGACTTGCAGAAGTGTTTGAAATCAAAGTACTAATAGTACTGTGAAGCGTGTGAGTTGACATTTATCAAAAATTTCTTTAAATTGAAGCACATCTTTAATCTCTTTATATATTCGATAAGTACTGAAGTGAAATCATACTGTTATAGAATTCAGGTAAATAAAACAAATTCAATGTATAATTTAGAAAGTTTTTTTTGTAAAGATTTTTTTTCAATATGTATGCTTTAATTTGTTAAATGATATGCAAATAAGTAGTCTAAATAGAAACAGTTTCCTAGTAAATGAAAAGAATTGCTATTTGTCCTATTTATGATAAGTACATATAGACAATGTTTAAGGTTATTTCCTCTTCGTTTTTTTTTCTTTCTTTCTTCTTTAAAATTTAAAAAAAGTTACAATAAATGTATCTCATGCATATTGTTATTCGCCATTCAGAGCGTTGTGACTAAGACAGGAATTGCAGTCATATCGTGTCAATTATTTTTATTTTGTAATGTTTATAAATACATTTCTGGAACTAATTTACCGCAGATTTATCATACTGGTTACTTATCTCTGGGTTAAATGTAAGATTAAAACAAAATAATGATATCTCATCTGACACTAACCATTATGGATTATAAACATGATTTTAAAATTGTGAAATAAATGTACATTAAACGGGGAAAATGCAAAATATACCCTAAAGAAATCAAAGTATGAATTGGACAATTATATATAGAATGTTTATATTTCAGCGGAAATAATCAACTTAAAGCGTCCAATTCCTCGCAATGTGAAAGGTGAGTTGATCTTCAGATTTGAAATTAATGGTTATCAATGTCGAAAGACCACAATAAGTTCTAGTAAAGAAAACCCAATTTGAAAAACAAAAATTATATCTCGCTCTTCGGGATTAGAAGGCTTTGTCCATAAAACATTCATATGAATTTCTGAATGAATTTTATAAAAGACTTATAAAATACTTATATCTATTAGAATAATATTTTTTCAAACAGTGATAAATAAAGAATGTCCTATGGTTTGTGGTTGGATATAATTTTTTATCAAATGAGTTATGTGTTTCTATTCCCAAGCCTCGGATAGAAATCACTTCGAACCACAAACCAATGGGATATCTTTTTTATCTCATATTTTACATATAGCTAACACATGATTTACACTAGATTATAAATGAACATACCTCATTTGACCATTACTTTTACACAAAAGCATAATGACGGCACATCTGTTGATATAAAAACGATTTCATATGATTAATATCCACTGTATAAAGGAGAGAACATGTTATAAAAAGTAAGAAATCATTACTAGGATGTAGGAAATCACAGATGTAAAAAAAATTTTGAATTTTCAAGTATATTGCTAAAATGACTTTTATTTTACTCTTACAACAAGGTCACATCAATGTTATCATCTCTTCATATAGATTGAATTCAAATTTTGAAGCTAAAAACTCTTATAGGTCCATTAAAATTTATTCACATTTAGCTTAGGAATATTATGGTTTTACATTCAATAAATGAATATTCTCAAGAACTTCAAGGGTACAAATAGACAAGCTAATTTACAAGCATTCCTGGACACTGAAGATTAAAGTTCTTTCAAATCATGAAAAAGAAAGCTACAGATATATAAAAACAACCTTTCTTCCCTAACTAAAAGAGATTTGTAAGCTAAAGTTTAAAGTTCTTACATCATATTTTATGTACACCAATTTATTTTTAAGTTCTTCACGAGAAAGAAATTTTAAAGTGGGAGGAAGAGGATAAAGTTTTTTCTGAAATACACAACTACCCTTCAGTGCTTGAAAAAGTCAAGAAGCAGCCGTGCGTGGTCTTTGTTGGCGTACCAGGATCTGGTAAAACTGTCATGGCTCGTCATACTGCACTTACTCTCCGGGACAAAAATTACGAAGTTGTGCCTGTCAATGAAATAGGACAAATGAAATTATTTTGTGATCCTCTGAATCCACAAGTTTTTGTACTGGATGATGTGGTAGGTAAATTTGGGTTTCAGCAGTCAAAGATGGATCTTCTGATAGATTATGAGCAAATGATATTAAACCCAGCGATGCCAGATTCGAAAATACTTCTGACATGCAGAGAAACGGTGTATAATAAGGCAAAAACTTCAAGTGCATTTTTCTCAGAAGAAAGCAATATATTTTTGTTTCATAGTGATGAGAATGAATTAAACGAGAAGGAAAAAATAGGTTTAATGGAAGCATATAAGATAGATACCTCGGTTTTGTCCAAGTCTGATTTAGGATCTGCTTCAAAGATGTTTCCTTTACTCTGCAAACTGTTTCCAAAGGAAGAATTCCTATCATATGGTCCAAGGTTTTTTGAATGTCCAATTCATTGTATATTGGCTGAATTTGAGAAAATGTACAATGATAACAAACTACATTATGCTTCTTTGGTATTATGTATGATAAACGGAAGCAGATTATCAGAGGAAATTCTAGAGAATACAGGACAAGTAGCAATTGGTGGAAACTTTGGTGAAATCAAGCAAGCTGTCTGCAAGAAATTGAAAATGAGAAGTCAAACTGATGATTTTGAATTTGTCGATGCATTGCGTGAAATGAACGGAACGTATACAAAATTGTGTGACAGAGAGTACACCTTCATTCATGACTCAATGTTTGAAATAATTGCTCATCATTTCGGACAGAAGTGCCCAGACCTTATTTTAAAATACCTGAGTTCTAGCTACATTGCCAATTACGTTAAGCCTCAGAAATGCAAAACCGAAACTAATGAAAGTGAAAGCAAGGAAATGTTTGAGAAAGCAGTTCGTGTTGATGAAAGCAATGCTAGCAGAATATCACATGATCTTTCTGTTAAATTACAAGAGGAATATTTTCCATTGTTAGCAGAACGTTTGTTTCGAGACATTGAGGACATGCAATTGTACGATGTATTTATGAGCGATCATCTAAAGTATCCTCAGGTTTGTCAGGCATTTCTTGCTGTGTTGAATAGTAAGAGATATATGGATATAAAAGATATATTTCTGTCCCAGAAGAATGATCAATTTTTGAAATTATTACTGAAAAGCAAAGCAGATGTACTGAAAATTTGGAATGCAGGAAATAAAGAGTTCATTAGACAAAGATTGTTAGTTGGATTACGAGAGATATCTGAGAATCATGAATTGAATATTAGAGTGATCAGTTGGGTGATTTACTATGGGCATCACAATATTCTTCGATACATTGTGGACCAAACAGAGCAAAATAAAGAAACACAGTGCAAACTTTTTCAGAATTATGAAACTCCCTGTCCACGATCAGATTTTTCTGAACTAGGTCATTCACGAACTTCAGTGAATAACGTGATCAAGCAGGGAACAGATATGGCTATCGTGTTTGAAGTAACCTCTGATGCCAATTCCAGTGACACATCTGTGAAGGAAACCTGTGACACCAGTGATTTATTTGTTGAAAGTACTCGCTTACTGGTAATTGGTTGTTATAGTGGTGATGTTGAGACTGTTAAAATTTTACTGGAACATGTCAATGAAAATTCATTGAATAGAACGTCTCGTTACCAAGGTTATATTTTTGATTATTGGCGACAGGATACTCCTCTAACAGCTGCTTGTGGCCATGGACACGAAGATGTTGTGAGAGAACTGATAAATAGAAGAACTGATGTCAATCTACAACGTGATTTGCTTCATGTAAAGTTCCCGCTTGTTACTGAATATACACCTGATCGTTTGGGATTGATGAAACAACATCTGATACTAGGAGGTGTCGATATTAATATAGTGTTAACACCACTTGTTTCAGCATGTAAGGGCGGGCATTATGAAGTGGTAAAAGAGCTACTAAAGGCAGGGTCAAATGTCAATACATATAGTGTAGGTGAATCCCCACTGATAGCTGCTTGTAAGGGAGGGTATGTGAATATAGTGAATGAACTACTGAAATCGGGGGCGGAAGTAAATCCGAAGAATGAAGGATATATTCCATATCAAACACCATTATCAGCTGCATGTTATCATGGACATTTAAATGTTGTCAAATTACTGCTTAAAGAAGGAGCTGAGGTCAGTCTACATGGAGATTGTTATTCACCACTTTCAGCAGCATGTGAAAATGGGCATTTAAATGTGGCAAAGGAACTGCTGAAGTTTCAGGCTGATGTAAATCATGAAAGTAAATTTTACGAGGCCTTGAAAGCTGCAAAGAACTGTAGTCATAACATATGTACAAAGAAGCAATTGCGTTCGCGATATAATTTTCGGACTCGAAGAGGAAACCGGTACATGTATGAATGCGATATACCACCATCGTATACTCGGCGCATAGATAGTTTTTTAGCAGTTACAGACTATATGAAATCTCGAGATGATAAGTTAGAACAGTATTTATGTAATTTATCTCTAATTATTGCCTCCGGAGAATCAAAAAAGTTACGCACTTTTATAAGTCCGGATATGATAAACGCACCATTAACAACAGCCTGCAGAGGGGGACATATCGATTTGGCAAGAGAACTGATAAAGGTGGGGGCAGATATCAATACACAAGATCGTAATGGTACGCCACTGATAGCTGCATGCCAAGGAGGACACTTGAATATAGTGATGGAACTTATAAAGAATGATGCCAAAATAAATCTACAAGGAAATTATGAAACACCATTGATAGCTGCATGTAATGGCAATCATGCGAACGTAGTCATGAAACTATTAAACGCTGGAGCTGATGTAAATCAAATGACTAAATGTGATGAAAGATCATTCGGGTTGAGGCTAGCCTTCACTTTAAGAAATGAATACACAACAGCACTGGGAGCAACATGTAGCCATGGGTATATGAGCCTCACGCAGGAATTATTAAAGGCGGGGGCAGAAATCAATCCCCAAAGTTCTAACGATTCACCATTGACATATGCTTGCAAGGGTGGCCATTTGAGTTTAGTGAAAGAGTTGATAAATTTAGGAGCAGATGTCAATCCTAAAAATAAATATCAAACACCATTGACAGCTGCATGTTTCAGTGGGCAAGTACAGGTTGTGACGGAACTGCTTGATGCTGGAGCAGATGTAACCTTAGAAACTTTACATCATGTAACACCAGTTAAAGCCGCAATTGAAGGTAAACATGAGAATATATTAAAGGATTTACAAAAGGCAGGAGCCGAGGCAAATCCATAATTCATAGAATTTAAAATACAAACCTCACAAATCCTGTTGAAGGGGCCCATAAACATTTTAGTAATGAAGATCAAATAGACGATACGTGCTCACATGTATCTGTACATCTTTTAACTGAATATATGCATATTTCTCCAGACCAAAAAGTAAATTTTTTACGGTCGTCATCAACTATTGCGAAAAAAGGAACAAACAAAGTTACAAAACAAAAAAGTGATAATATAAAGGCATTTCACATATTTAGATATTTAGATCATACTATTAGAAACTAATTCCAACATCGACGCCAAGAGTAAAAATGTAGATTCCGAAACTTCACAGGAAACCACGATTCATGTTCCAGAAGATGAATAAGTTACTGTAAAAATGTACGAAGAGTTCAAAAACCCAGGTTTTCGAAGGAAAAAAGTCACTTTTCGACCCTCAAACCCCCTCCCCCCACCCCCTCCTCAAACTAAAAATTTCGAAATCTGATCTCTCATCTACAGCACATAAAAAATTACATTCCAAGATATGAATTTGCTACTGGAAAAAAATGTGTAAGAGAAGTTCAGATAGAAATAAAGGAGCCTTTATCTTTTGGCATAATTTGAGAAACCTAACTTATATGTATTTATATAAACTTTCTCTTGATTAAGTGCACTTTTGCTTGTAATACCTCTGAAGATATTTATGTACATGTAGTTATCACGGATTTTAGCATTATCCACATTTGTATAACATTAAATTTATGTGTAAATTTATGCAGAGATTTTTACTCGAATTATTTAACATTTATTTATCTTTCAGTTTTATCCCTTTATCATACAATAATTTGCCAATCATTTCAAAATCCTTAACAAATAAACATTTTGTCATAAACGCATTTTCTCACTTTAAGCTTAAATTTCTCATCTGATGAAAAAATTGGTTTACTAAAAAATGTAACTTTTGTTTCTGATATATTTCAAATACTGAACAAAAAGAGGGAATATATATATATATATATATATATATATATATATATATATATATATATATATATATATATATATATATATATGCTAAATCTATGCTAAATCTGAAAGCTGCAAAAGATAGTCATTTAGTAACAGAACTTTATATTTTGACTTGAAAAAAGGTCATCACGAGACTAAATTTTAGCTTGAAAAAGAAAAAAATAAGCGAAAATTCGCCACATATGCTAAGGTGTGAAATGGTAAGCTAAATCACAATTTTTTGATATTAAACATAAGCTAGAATTTATCCCATACTTAAGATATGAAAATCTGAAACTTTCCAAATATTACCACATGTTAACTGAAATGAAAGCAAGCGGAATTTGTCAAGATTATCATTCTTCACCATTATTTATATGTTTTGTCGAAGGCTCCATAAATGAAAAGTGTTAAAAATAGATGAATATGTTGGTGTTTTCTTATTGTTACAATATGGCATATTGTTACAATATTATTATATGTTATATATTGTAATAAGACAACTTGTATAAGAATAATTAGCTTCAAGCAATGTGCACTTTGCTTTAAGATTATATGCTGAAAATGTCTTTTTTTTTTTTTTTTTTTTTTTTTTTTTTTTTTTTGTGGTTATTATAGTGTTAATGTTTCTGAAGAATGTCATACAAATTTGCTGTTTTATCTTAATAGGAATAACTATATATATAAGATATGTCTGTTTATTTATTTCTCTTGAATCACATTAAATTAGATAAATCGGATTGGCAAAGATCAGTTGCCCATGTTGGTTGCAGATTAACAAAATATGAAGTCAAATGAAATGTATTACAAGTATGTTCAATGTAACACTACATTCTTTTGGCAGATTGTCTGAAATTTCTGTCCAGTTCTGTCAAGCGGTTAAAAAGATTTCACTCTTACTATAGCAGAGGCCCAAGTGGGCTACGGACTATACATATTCAGGCATAACATTTATGTTTATAATATTCAACTGAACAAAAACAGCAGAATTCACATACATACTCTTCACAAACACATAACTCATTTCCATTAGAATGCTACAGTATATAAAGGACATGTGTAAATTTGTTAATCTTGGAGATTTGTTCTACTCTTAATATTTGGACATTTAAAAAAAATACATTAAAGTACTTTCAATTTTTCTAAAGAAACAGGATGAAAATTTCAAACTTATTTGGTAATACATTGAGAAAACTGTGTCAGATATTTTTTGATTGACTATTTGGAGACCTTGGGCTACGGACTATACATAGAGTAATTTTCATTTAATGAGATACCATAGAAAAATAGTTGCTTGTGTCAGTAAATATTTGTTCAAATAATCATCTTGGAGTTCAAATGAGTGTAATAAATCCTTTCATTCAGATATCAAATCAATTTATACAAAAAGCCTGTGAAAATTAACAAAATAAAACAAAAACTTCATATTAATTCCCAATACCAATAAATTATAAAATATCAGAACAAAACAATACATGAGTACATGTTATTGGTGTTTTAATAACAAAATATAGTGTAAGACCATCTAAAGACCAAGTCCCTAGATTGAGTTTTATAATTTAGCATCTAAGAAGGATGAAGTTCATGTGCACACAAGGGCTACAGACTATACCGTTAAACATCTCTATTGTGAACGACATCTTAAAGAAAATATACTTCTATAATTAAATCTTGGGCAATTATATATATATATATATAATTTTGGTTTTCTATAACAGTTCACATGTACACCACTTATAATTAGTTTGAGTATTTATAATACCATGCTTAAAGATCAATTATCTAATGCATTGTGTATAAAGGTGGGGGCAGATATCAATACACAAGATCGTAATGGTACGCCACTGATAGCTGCATGCCAAGGAGGACACTTGAATATAGTGATGGAACTTATAAAGAATGATGCCAAAATAAATCTACAAGGGAACAAGATGTGTTTGTGAAACACTGATGCCCCCGTATGGCAACTTAAAGCAAAGGTTAAATTTTCTCAAATGCAAATCAAATATGTTGGTACCCAAAGTAAGGTCTTGTCTCGAGAAATAAATCTGTAAAATATGAAAGGCCTAGCAGCAACCATTGAATAGATATGGAAAAGGTTAAAGTTTTTTTTTCAAAAGTATGTCAAATATCAAGGTCAAGGTGAAATGGTCAAAATTAATTGTGCCAAAGGAAAGACCTTCTCCAAAGAAATACATAGGTGAAATATGAAAGCTGAAGCACCAACCGTTCAAAAGTTATGGCCAAGGTTAAAGTTTTCCAAAAGTAGGTCAAACTCCAAGGTCAAGGTCAAAGGGTCAAAGCTTGTCACAAGGATAAGACATGTGAGGTATGAAAGCCCTAGCCTACCTTTCAAAAGTTAAGGCCAAAATTAAAGTCTGGTAAAGTTTTGCAAAACTGGGTCAAACTCCAAGGTCAAAAGGTCATATATGGTGTTACCCAAGGAAAGGACTTGTCAAAATGAACACTCCTGTCAAATATTAAAGCCTTACCCTTGACAGCGCATTAGTTATGGGCTAGGTTAAAGTTAACAAGAGACAGACTGATAAACAGGCAGACTGGACAAAAACAATATACCCCCGGGATCTTTCGATCTCGGGGCATAAAATGATAAACTTAACAAAGGGGAGTCGAGTTGGTTAATGTGAATATTTGACAGAAAGTCATGAAAATCACTCACTACACTGGGCCGGGGTAAACATGCTGGAAAATAATACATACGGTCCACGTGCGCATGAGTCAAAAAGAACACCGAGGTTGACAAGCTCACAAACCAAAATTGCAAGATCAGTTCCTTTCGTTTAAGGGGTGAATGGAATGTTTATCATTGTCTATTGTATTAATATCAGTATCAGTGGTAATGAGATGTCAATTACAGGAGGAGAGATGAATATCCCAATCTTACCGTGACGTTGTTACGCGCCAATTTCATCATCACGGTTGGTTGGAAACCCTTCAAGTTCATCTCCAAGGACATAAAAGACGTTCCATGGTGGAAAAATTCCCCAAAATTCAAACACTTTCCTTACATGACTCATACATTTCACGGTTGAGTAATTCTGAACACATTTTTATCTAGTGCACAGTAACCAAGATACCCCTCCAACCAGTTTTCATACTTTTTTAGCCAGACACTCAAAAAGTTATCGCATATTATGTTACCCGGCGTTTATTTTTTCCTTTCAGTATATATGTATAAAATATATTTCCAAAACTCTCTTATAGATTTTTATGAATTTAAGAAATTAAAGGTGGTGGGTAACAATCATATGCTACTTAATCTTCGCTTTTGTGATAATTTAGGGCAAAGATTGGAGCTCAGTAGCGACTGTTTTGTTTTGTTTTTGTTTTTGGTTTTTTTTGCCAAAAGGTTGGTAGAAAAAAGTGTGTGTCTGCTACAATGACAAACCTTTGTTTACCTTTTAAGGCTATTGTTATATTTGCTATTACATAATCGTTGAATGAATAGTGGAGTATGTTGTATGAAATATATACATCGGCTATTGCTTCCAAACGTTTTAATTACAAGAAAACTTTACAGAGCTTGGATCTTGAGCAGCTGAAACATAATCCTCCATCGTGTTCATGTTCTTCTTCACCCTACAACTATAGTCATGTTGGACACGTTATTACTGGTGACGTAAATATAGTTAATAATGAGGACTTTAAATCACTTATTTTAAAAGGGCCAAAATTTAGGGAACCACCCATATCTTTCAACTGGAATCATAATTTCATAAAAATTATGAATTCTGTGGAGGATTACACCAAGCAATGGGCCAGACATGAAAAAGACCTTATTTCTTTGTCAGAATGGATTAAATGCATTGGATGCATATCCATGTTAAAATCTTGCATTAAGCGATTGAGGGGCAATATGGAAACCATCTGTCCTTTTATGTTCAATAATTCAGAAGTGAAAAAAGATTTACATAGACTACACGATCAGTATGTACTTGTCCCAGCTAACAAATCAGATAACAACATTGTCTTTGTTTGTAAAGCTCATTTTATTTTAAAAGAATTGGGATTTAATTCTACCAGTAGCAATCCAATTTGTACCCATAGCTCCCTTTCAAAGGAGGAAATTCTTCAAAATCATATGCCAGTTTTGAATATTTTAAATATTCCCAATAACCAAAATGAATTTGAATTACCATATTTATGTTGGGTTCCGAAACTTCATAATAATCCTTACAAACAAACAAAAAAAAATACATGGCGGGTTCCAGTTTATGTTCTATCAAGCCTTTTTCTGTACTCCCCACTATAATTTTATAAAATATTAACAGCAGTGAAGGAGAAACTTCAGGAGTACTGTGCTACAATATATTCTAGAAGTGGTGCAAATTAAATCAGATGTGGATACTTTAAAATTCCAAGGAACTTTAAAAAAAAAACTGAAATCACAAAATTTTACTAAGATCAATAACATAAAAACGACTTTTCAACTCTTTATGCAACCATTCCCTACGATAAATTAAATTCCAGGCATTTTGACATCATTGACAGCTGCTTTTTCAATAAAATGGAACTCGTAAATTTACCTACCTTGTCATTGGTCATTTGCAAAATTATTTTGTTAATTTTTTTTGTACACACAAGTTGATATTAAAAAGATGCTTGCGTTTCTGATTGACAATATCTATGTGATTTTGGAGACTAGGTCTTCCAACAATCTGTTGAAAATCCAGTGGGTACCAATTGCGCCATTTTGTTAGCAGACCTATTTTTGTATTCATATGAAGCAGAATTTATTCAAAATCTTATGCATGAGAAAAAAAATCTCTCGCGGAGGCCTTCAATTCGACGTCTAGATTTATCGACGACTGTTTCGTATTTGGATATTTTACTAGAAAAAGACATTAATGGTAACCTAACAACGAAGTTTTATGATAAACGTGATGACTTCAACTTTTCAATCGTCAACTTCCCTTACTTATGCAGCAATATACCCTTATCACCTGCAAATGGGGTGTACATCTCTCAGTTGATTCGATACGCAAGAACATGATCTACGTATGAACAATTTCTAAAAACGAGGTAAATTATTGACAAACAAGTTGATAAATCAAGAATATCAACATGTTGTTTAAAGTCATCATTTTGTAAGTTCTATGGTCAATACAATGACCTTGTCAGCAAATGCTATCTATCATTAAGTCATATGCTGAGTGGCGTTTTTCATACTATTTGTTAGGCCATCATTTACACACTACGCAGCACAGTTAAGGCTGCAGTAAGGAGGCGGGGCCTAATTTGTACGGGAAATGCTTACTATGACAACACACAAAAATATAAGTTCTTCAAAATACCACAAAATGAAATGATTTGCTATTTTAAACTTTTGGATAGCTTCAAACTACATAAATACTAATTATTGCATGCATTTTTGTCGTTAGTTAAACCCCACACAGCAATATATAAACAATTCACTGATCGCAATGCACTTGTCAATGTGACGTCATATCGTAAAAGTTGACGCAGTTTGTATACAGTGAGAGGCGGATCAAGTTATATTTTATACAATGAAAAATGTATTTTGTAATTAAATAAAATATTATTTTCAGATATATAAGAGGCCATTAACTTGGATGTGATGTCTATTTTATGATTTTATTCTTATACTTCCCGTACATTCCCTAGACAAGCGACACTGCCGTATATTTCTATGCAGATTCATTGAAGAGTAATAGAAGGGTAGTAATAAATCGATATATTGCAAGGGCATACCCTCAATGAATTAAGACAAGCTTTTACACATAAACTCAAAAAGTATGAAGATATTTGAAAAGTGCTGCGAACCTGATGAAATCTTGCAAATGAATTAATTATATCTATATTTAATGTACTTGACCAGCAAAATATTCAACATACGGTCTAACAAATGTAATTTTAGCTATTAGATAGTAGAATCTAAATAGGTTCGCAGCACTTTTCACAAACTACAAAGAGTGTTGAAAATAATTATATATTAAACTTACATTTTTAACTTGGTTATGCCCTTGCAATATTGGAATTTATAGATGACCTCAATACTTCAGGTATATTTGCTAAAATCACTTGACTGCCACAAGTGTAAAGTGACAAGTCTAAATAAGAAATCTAATCATCCTCAACATGTAGTTTTCAACCACATTGCATTTGTCCGATAATAGTAAAGTTCTAAAAAGAAACGCCCATCCTTGTAAAAAATGTATTTTCTATCTAAAAAAATCGCCGATATTTCCATTTGGCACCTTAACTGTACTGCGTAAATTGTCAACGGATTTTTCCGTTATTTATCGATCATGACAAGAAGCAGGGATGCTCACTTCTCCATGGCACATGATCCCACCTCTGATGTATCTGTTCGCTCTGCTCCAGATTTTTATTGTTTTAATGTACGTTGAGCTTGAATACTTTTCTTTTTCTTCTTGTTTCATGTATGTTTACATTTTATTTCGAACACGTGGTTCAGGTCAATCAACGACGTTATATTAAATGGAATGCAAAAAAAAAAAAAAAAAAAAATTGAAAATATTTTTTTATTGTTTTATAATTTAAAAAGGATTGGAAGATTTGAAAGTAAGAAAGATGTCTCGGTCGTACTCTTCGTAAGAAAGGAATTTTTTTTTACCTCATATCTTGATTTTTGTGCGTTTGTTATTTAATTGTTGTTACTTTGTTGTATACAAATTCAATATTATACAATGTACTATAAAAGCTAGTCTGTGCCATAATGTATTGCAATGAAAATCAGCGCTTTAAGGAGAACGAGCAGTATCCCTTGTGTATTTAAACTCATTCAGGTTTTAAGTCACGTTCTTATATCGTTTAGCATCAGTATAAATTTAGTCTGACGACAGAAAATATAGTTCCAGTGCAAGCAAGTTTTTCCAAAAAGAAAGTCTAACACATAATTGCAGAAAATAATGTCAAAAGAATTCTTATAAAGAATAATCTTTGAAGAAGTTGGAATGATTTCTACAGAGATTAAAGTACAATTTCTCTGATATTGAGAATTATACAGTGGTGAAAAATAAAACTTAAACGTAACTGAACTTCTCTGTTTATCGTGTCTTCACGTACTAGTCTCTACCTAACTACACTTCCGTGAATATTCAACTTATCCATTAACAGTCTCTCTGTAGTCTCAATAAATCTCGCCAGAGCTACTGCGAACTCTTATTTTATAATTTGCAGAATACCGAAAAATACAAGGTTCCGGACACATTAGTGGGGGTGACATTTGGCATAACGGAGCAGAGGAGATTTTCAAAGAAATAATGCATTTTCACTTTTTAACACAGCCCTACCCTAACACCAGAACCCATGACCTAGTGTCATGAAAATTTACAAATTTGGAAGAGGTACCCTCATCATCATAACTATGCAATTAGTTGAAGATTTTCAAAGAATTCACACATTTTCACTATATAATCAAATAGAGCCCCACCCCCCTTTCATAGAAACAACAGAACCCCTGGGGCCACAAGTTTTAAAAATTTTGCAAAAGTATCCTTGCTCATCATAACTGTACACTTGTTTCTTTGCTTTATAACTAGGAGTAAAAAAAATATTTTGAAAGAAATCATGAATTTTCACTATATAATCAACAGAGCCCCCTCCCCTTTCACCAGAACCCCTGACCCCGGGGCCATGAAATTCACAATCTTGGAAGAGGCAGCCATGCTCATCATAACTATGTACTTAGTTAATTTAATACCCATGAGCAGAGAAGAAGATTTTCAAAGAAATAATGCATTTTCACTACATAATCAATAGAGCCCCGCCCTAACACCAGAAACCCTGACCCTGGGGCTATGAAATTCACAATTTTGGTAGAGGCACTCTTGCTCATCATAACTATGTACTTAGTTATTTTACTTCATACACAGGAGCAGAGAAGAAGATTTTCAAAGATTCAATGCATTTTCACTATATAATCAATAAAGCCCCACCGTAACACCAGAACCCCTGACCCAGGGGCCATGAAATTCATAATTTTGGAAGAGGCAGCCATGCTCATCATAACAATGTACTTATTTAGTTTATTTAATACCCATGAGCAGATAAGAAGATTTTCAAAGAAATAATGCACTTTCACTATATGATGTATATAGCCCAACCCTAGCACCACAAACCCTGACCCTGGGGCCATGAATTTCACAATTTTGGTAGAGGGCTCAATCCTTATTACAATCATGCCAACAGTTTGACTGCTTGATGTCCAGGAGTAAAGAAGAAGATTTTTAAAGATTGCATTAATTTGATGGTTTTAGCCCCACCCCTCAGGCCCCATTCTCCCATAGGTGCTATATGCCAAAATTGGTTTAAATTTGTTGAGCGGTTTCAGAGAAGAAGCTGAAAATGTTCAAATGTTAATGCACGGCGCACAACGCACGACGAACGACGAACGCCGACGGACAAAAACGGATAGCAATAGGTCACCTGAGTGACTCAGGTGACCTAAAAATACTTTATATTCTCAAACCATTTTAGACACTTTGCAGTTTCTTATAATAGCTATTGCGAAGGAATAGCATATGTTTACATTAACGAGATAAAATTACGAAATCCCTATGCATGACGTCCGCTTGAAACAAGTTTAACGTCAGAATGAACGGCGCAACTTGTATATATGGAAGTATGTAACGTTCGTGAAATATTGTGTATTATATTCAGTTAAGATAAATTCACTCAACGTAGATCTACATTAAAATATTACTGGACCTACAAGCGTGTGTAATCATGATATAGAAAAATATATATTACGTATTCACGAACTTTCTGGACAATCTAGGAATGATTACGTTATTTTAATGAGCTTACCTTCTAAACATACAGTAACACTGGACTAACAATTGAAAAAAATTTAAAGAATACAAAAACTAGTTAACTTCTTTCTACTCTTAGAGAAGATGTTTTATTGACAACAGCTCTAACGCCTTCAGAGAAAGCGATCTGGTATACAAGGCTGACAATTGTGCACTGCAATGGCCATACTTCGAAATGAGTAGCATTTGCATCACACTGACTCTTTGCCTGCCTCTCTCCAACGTTCCCTCACATCATGTCCTTCTAAGTATCTTTCCCTTTTTTGTACCTGTAACTCCCTTTTGTTGTTACTTTTGCATTTGATTTCTTGTTTTGATGACATTAAGGCAAGAATGCGAATGCCCGTTCTAGTTTAAGGTAACCCTCCCCAGTCTGTTTAATTACATTATCATAAGAAGAAAAGAATGTTTTGCAAGTGCACATGAAACTGTATTTGCATAAAATGTATACAATCACACAAGGTAGATGTAAATCCACTTTGAAATC